AAAACTTAGATTCGTGCACCTACTCATCCACCTTGAAAAATTCTGTGTGAAAAACTTTTTAAAATAAGCAATTACAGAAAACGGCTAAACGCTGTTTCCAGAGCTTTTTCTAATACTTAGATTGCGGTAATCCACCCTTATGGAAACATCTTTAATTTTGGATCAGCAAAACCAAACTCGCAATGGCAAAATATTCACAACAGCAGGGTGGCGCAGCGGAAGCGTGCTGGGCCCATAACCCAGAGGTCGGTCGATCGAAACTACCTCCTGCAAGATAAGTAATGGAACATCTAACCTTTTGACAATTGCAGCTTTCAAAAGACACTCGATTTAAAAATAGCTAGACCAATGGAGCTTTAAGTAGCTATAAAAATTATATTCGTGCACCAACTCACTCACATTCAAAATTTAGAAATACAGAAAACGATAAAAGTTTCTCTATTACTTGGTGTTGTGGCACTGTACCATTACGACATCTTAAATTATGGATCAGCAAAACCCGAATCGCAATAGCACTGTATTATCAACAGCAGGGTGGCGCAGCGGAAGCGTGCTGCGCACATAACCCAGAGGTCGGTAGATCGAAACTACCTCCTGCTAGTCAAGTTGAGTAATATATTATTTTTTGACAAATGCCGATTTCGCAGGAGATTCGATAAAAATAGCTACATCAGCGAATCCTTAAATAAGCTATAGAAATTTGTTCGAGCACCTACTCCAGTGCGTTGAAGATTTTTCTGCAAAAAAAAAGATTTCAAATTGAAAAATACAGAAACTGACGAAACGCTGTTTCCAGAGCACTTTCTTTTACTTCGGACTGTGTTTCTTCAACTTATACGACAACAATTCAAAATATGGATCAGCACGAAATTAGACGGAGCAGGGTGGCGTAGCAGAAGCGTGATGCCCCCCCCCCCCCGCCCCACTCACCCAGAAAACGTAGATCGAAAGTACCTCCTGCTAGTTTACTGAAGTAACAACTAACCTAGTGACAAATGCAGATTTCGCAAGACACTCGATTGAAAAATAGCTAGACCAATGGAGCTTTAAGTAGCTATAGATACTATATTTGTGAACCTACTCACATTCATTGAAAAAAATGTTGCGAAAAATTTTTCAAAATTATTAAATACAGAAAACCACGAAACGCTGTTTCCAGAGATTTTTCCAATACTTGGCTTGTGGTAATCCACCCGCATGGAAACATCTTAAATTTTGGATCATCAAAACCAAAATCGTAATGGCAAAAAATTAACAACAGCACGGTGGCGCAGCGGAAGCGTGCTTGGCCCATAACCCAGAGGTCGGTAGATCGAAACTACCTCCTGTTAGTTTAGGGAAGTAACAAAAAAATATTTACGGTTGCAGCTTTTGCAGAAAATTCGATGAAAATAGCTATATCACCGAAGCCTTAAATAGCTATTAAAATTTTGTTCGTGGACCTGCTCAACCTCGTTGCAGATTTTTCTGCAAAAAAAAATTCAAAATTGACGAATACAGAAAACGACGAAAGCTGTTTCCAGAGCACTTTCTTTTACTTCGGATCGTGTTTCTTCAACCTATCCGTTAACACTTTAAGTAATGATCAGCAACAACCTTTGCAATAGCACAATTTTAGCCAGAGCAGCGTGGCGCAACAGAAGCGTGATGCAACGCCCTCACCCAGAAGCCGTAGATCGAAATTACCTCCTGCTAGTTTACTAAAGTAACATCTAACCTATTGACAAATGCAGCTTTCGCAAGAGACTCGATTGAAAGACACTCGATGGAGCTTAGAGTAGCTAGAAAACTTAGATTCGTGCACCTACTCATCCACCTTGAAAAATTCTGTGTGAAAAACTTTTTAAAATAAGCAATTACAGAAAACGGCTAAACGCTGTTTCCAGAGCTTTTTCTAATACTTAGATTGCGGTAATCCACCCTTATGGAAACATCTTTAATTTTGGATCAGCAAAACCAAACTCGCAATGGCAAAATATTCACAACAGCAGGGTGGCGCAGCGGAAGCGTGCTGGGCCCATAACCCAGAGGTCGGTCGATCGAAACTACCTCCTGCAAGATAAGTAATGGAACATCTAACCTTTTGACAATTGCAGCTTTCAAAAGACACTCGATTTAAAAATAGCTAGACCAATGGAGCTTTAAGTAGCAAAAAAAATTATATTCGTGCACCAACTCACTCACATTCAAAATTTAGAAATACAGAAAACGATAAAAGTTTCTCTATTACTTGGTGTTGTGGCACTGTACCATTACGACATCTTAAATTATGGATCAGCAAAACCAGAATCGCAATAGCACTGTATTATCAACAGCAGGGTGGCGCAGCGGAAGCGTGCTGCGCACATAACCCAGAGGTCGGTAGATCGAAACTACCTCCTGCTAGTCAAGTTGAGTAATATATTATTTTTTGACAAATGCCGATTTCGCAGGAGATTCGATAAAAATAGCTACATCAGCGAATCCTTAAATAAGCTATAGAAATTTGTTCGAGCACCTACTCCAGTGCGTTGAAGATTTTTCTGCAAAAAAAAAAGATTTCAAATTGAAAAATACAGAAACTGACGAAACGCTGTTTCCAGAGCACTTTCTTTTACTTCGGACTGTGTTTCTTCAACTTATACGACAACAATTCAAAATATGGATCAGCACGAAATTAGACGGAGCAGGGTGGCGTAGCGGAAGCGTGATGCCCCCCCCACCCGCCCCACTCACCCAGAAAACGTAGATCGAAACTACCTCCTGCTAGTTTACTGAAGTAACATCTAACCTATTGACAAATCAAAACCACCTCCCTCCCGCTACTTTAGTGATGTAGCATCAAACATTTTGACAATTACAGCATACGCAGGAAACTCAATCAAAGTAGCTATATCACCGGAGCTTTAACTAGCTATGAAAATTATAATCGTGAACCTACTCAACCACATTTTTGGTGCGAAAAAGGTTTCAAAATTGACAAAAAACAGAAAACTGTGAAACGCTGATTCCAGAGCACTCGCTAATACTTGGGATTGTGATACTCCACCCTATACGACAACATCTTAAATATTGAAACAGCAAAAACAGCAATATCTTCGTAATGGCAGTACATTGGCCACAGCAGAGTGGCGCAGCGAAAGCGTTCTGGGCCCATAACACAGAGGTCGGTAGACATAAACTACCTCCTACTAGCTTAGTGAAGTTTTATGAACAACAATTGATAATTGCAGCTTTCGCAGGACAGTCGATGAAAATAAAAATATCACCGGAGCTTTAAAACGACAAAACGCTGCTTTCCGGATCGTGGTACTTCAACTTTTGGCAACAATTTAAATTATGGATCAGCAAAACCAAATTCGCAATGGCAACCAATTATCAACAGCCGGAAGACGCAGCGGAAGCGTGCTGTGCCCATCACCCAGAGGTTGGTAGATCAAAACTACCTCCTGCTAGGTCACTAAAGTAACAAATAAGCTTTTGACAGTTGCTGCTTTCTAAATATTTTAAAAACAGCTATGTCATCGGAGCTTTAAATAGCAATAAAAAAATTTTCGTGTTCCTACTGAACCACGTTGCAAATTTTTCTGCAAAAAAATTCAAAATTGACAAATACAGAAAACGACGCAACGCTGTTTCCAGAGAACTTTCTGTACTTGGGATTGTGGTTCTTCAACCTATATGTTAACACTTTAAATAATGATCAGCAACAACCTTTGCAATAGCACAATATTAGCCAGAGCAGAGTGGCGGGCGGAAGCGCGATGCAACCCCCCTCACCCAGAAGCCGTAGATCGAAACTACCTCCTGCTAGTTTACTGAAGTGACATATAACCTATTGACAAATGCAGTGTACTAAAGAGAGCAAAGTGACGCAGCAGAAGAGTGCTGGGCCCAAAAACTAGAGGTCGATAGATCGAAAGTACCTCCCGCTAGCTTACGGAAGAAACATATAAGCTATGAATAGTTGCAGCTTTCGCAAGAAAATCGATAAAAATAGCTGTAAAAACTATTTTCGCGCACCTACTAAAACAAATTGCAAATTTTTTTGCGAAAAAACTTTAAAGGTTAACAAATAACGAAAACGGCATAACGCTGTTTCCAGCGTACTTTCTATTACTTCGAATTGTGGTTCTCCACCCTATGCGACACTATTTTAAATTCTGAATCAGCAGAACAATATTCGCAATAACACTATCTTAGCCAGAGCAGGGAGGCGCAGCGGAAGGGTGCTAGGACCAAAACCAAGGTCGGTAGGTCGAAAATACCACCTGATAGTTAATAAAAGTAACATCTAACCTTTTGGCAGTTGCAGCTTTTGCAAGACACTCGATTAAAAAATAGCTATAACAACGGAGCTTCAAATAGCTATAAGAACTATATAAAAACTATATATGGCTACAACAAACTTGCAGATTTTTGTGCGCGGGAAGTTGTCAAATTAACAAATACAGACAACAATGAAACGCTGTTTCCAGAGCATTTGCTCTCACTTGGGATTGTGGTACTCCAATCCTTTACGACAACATACAAAAATATAGATCAGCAAAACAATGTTCTCATTAGCGATATAACATCCAGAAAAAAATGGTGCAGCGTAAGCGTGCTAATCCGTAAACTCTGAAATTAGCACTACGTCAAAAATGGTTGGTAAAAAAGTCGAAATTTGTCTGAAGAAAAAAAACCCACCCCGAGCACAAATATTCCGTTTCCGTTACTTTCGTTACAAAAGTTGGAACAAAAATCCAAATCCTATACATTTTCAAAATAACTGTTTTTCATCAAACAGAAACGAGCCATCAAGAAACTAGACACGAAAATATAATAAAATGAAGCAAAAGTTAACCAAACATAAAAATGCAAATGTGCAATTAATGAGCACCTGTGTTTGCGACTTAGATTGGAGACACCGTAATAAGACACCTTGCTATGCTTGTGTAAACACCCTACGCCATAGCTATTTATCCTACTTCAATAGAGTGACCAGATTATATATACTAATAGTTATTAGTTTGACTCACTTTGCCACTAGTTCCTTGAGCGACGCTAACTGCGCTTTGCTCTCTTTGAGTCGGCACCCGAGCGAGTGTTTCTCGTGGATACTCTGGTCGTACTCTTGCTGCACCTCCCGCATCTTCCTCTCCAGATCGGGGAGGTCTTCTTTTGTGAGATGTTTCTCCTCCTCCATTTCAGGTGGCAGGAGAGCCTGACGCTTCAACAGTTGCTCCGCCTCTTTCTCCTCCTGATACAAAAAAAAATATATATAATAAAAATCAATTCTCAAACCCCCAGTCTATTGTAATTTTAACTGGAATCTGGGCCTCGAAAATTCAAGAAGCAAAGCTAAAAATGCTTTCATAATCCTGGCATACAAGAATGAAATTACTTGAGAAGAAATCAAAAGCTGCAAGTAGCTCGAAAAAAAATACGCTTTAGCTATTTTAGCTATAACAATAAAAATTAGCTATAATAATAAAAATTAGCTATAATAAGAAATGGGTAGCTTGGATCTTCATGTCCAGCGCATCTTGATAAATAGTAAACGCAGATTTTATTTATAGATCGATACTACAAGAGATCCCTACAAGAGACTCCTACAACCGTTACCTTTGACAGATTTATGGACCATGATTTCTGATTATGAGTTGAAATTGACAGAGTGTTTGAATCAAGTGCGAGACATGAAATGAGATGAGATAACAGGGAAGATGGGTGGATGACTCACGAGTAGTTTCATCTCTTGGTCCAGTCTGAGAATGTCCTCCTTTTCCTGCTTCCTGGCCTCTATGTTCCGCAGAGTCTCCTTCAGAGGACCACACTGCTCAGTGTACTCCAAAAGAGACACCTGCACGAAATCAGAGCAACCATTTATAATTTCAGTCTTGTATGAATATATTAGTATTTGAGCCAATTCTAAACCTCGAAAGACAGTATCACTCGTGTTTAAAGGCCATAATGGATACAAAACAAAACAAAAAACACCCACAGTAAGATAAGTGTTTGTAATTAAACATATCCATAAATTGAACTAACTTTTTACCATTCATGCTCCCAAAACACCACTTGGGGGACATTCTTTGCGTTTGTCTTTCAGGCCGCATTTGTATTATAATGAAGATTCAACTGATACGATTTCAAAAGAGAAACAGGCAATATTTTTGCAACATTAATCTACAGAAAGAAAACATTTACGTTAAAATATAGCCTGAAAAAGCTCACAAAAAAAAACTAATTGTATGCACGCACGCTTCCGAGAAATATTTTGAGAACTTGGGTAGTTTGTGGAGAGTTTTGACCAAAAAAAGTCTCGCAAAATCCTTGTACATACTATTCAAAAGCGCCTCAATTCAACTTATAGATTGATTCACTAGAAGGAAAAGCCAAATTACTAGCCATGAATGCGAGTAGCGAGGCGGCGTCTTCGGATGAGAAGCGAACAGCGCCTATTGTGAGTCCCTCTTCAACAGGCGAGTCCAGTCGCTTGTTCCACTGAGCTATCTTGGTCACCTCGAGCACTGAAAGTCGCGATATGTAGAAAAAATAAATATACCATTCTCGAAATTCCGATACGATGAAACTAACAAACATTGACTCCAGGCTGTAAAAGAACAATTATTTGAAAGAAGCGAAACTTTTTTGAATGCTCCACTCATTTTTTGTGTGTCTTTTTTGAATTGAAAATAGTCGCTTTGATATATATTTTCCACGGTACATAAAGAACACTAGGTACATCAGGATTACTTCATTGTCTACATCTGATATCAGCGCTAAGCTACCATGAAATCACAGATGATGATGCAATTTTGATCTCAAGAAATTGATAGCAATTAATATTACGATGATAATGAAGAATGAACGTTCGTGAAGCAATTTAAAGCGTATATTAAAAGCATGCGTCATAAATGTAGTCAAAATTCATAAGAAAAACAGTTCCACAGTTCAAAATAATTGATATAAAGATAATCAAAACATGCTTAAATTAGAGAAGTCTACAATCTAGCAATCTCAGTGCAACATTCCATCAGCTGACTTACCTTCGTCATTTGTTGGCGACGCTATTTTACCCCTGGGTAATTTTACGTCGGGAAGAAGCAACTCCCCGTTTTCATCTTAGAAAAACAATAACGATTTCAAGTAGGCAACTGTTTTAACAGTAGTAAAAAGTGAGTAGATTGTAATAAATTGTAACGCTGCTATTCATTATATTATACAAAATAGTGAAGCAATTTTTTGAAACAATTTTGCTCTTTTTGTTTGTGCTAAACATCGTACACATTTATGAACACTTTTCGGATTTGCCCCCATTATGAAAGAATTGAACAGTTAAACGTATACAAATTTTGTACCTTGTAACGAACTCCCTCCCCTTTTACAAAAGGAGGTAAATAATTTACAAGATCCAATTTTTTAACAGAATCGGCGAGCGTTAAGCGGCAGCCACCAACCACCCTGAAATTAGCCTTACTCGCTTTGGGTCCATCAATCAGAGACCCCTCCCCGGTGACTCCTGGTTCCGTGTTGGCCCACTTGCCGATGTAGTTCCTCAAGATGGCCACCTGATCATCGCTCAGTCCGTCCTCCCACTCTATGGCCAGGATGAGGTCAGTCAGTTTCTTCAGGTCACTTAGCAGAGAGGTCTGCATTGTCTTCCAAACCAGTCGGTCCACTTTGCCCTCTTCGGCCAGTTCGCGCAGTTTCAGCTCTGCAAAACGAACATTGATTATATCAATAAAACACAGACATGCAGAAAGCACAGCAAGCTAGCCGATAGAAAACGAGAAAAAAGAGTTTTGAAAAAAAATATGTCGAAGACGACTATCACCAATTTCATACGATTGTCTCGATTAAGACCACTGTCGGTGTTGAATAAGCATCGAAGGAAAACTTATCCAGCAGTAACTATGCTGACAATGCTTGAGCAGACATCAGTAGCGCCGAAAAAAACTGTTGTCATAAAAACTAAGAATCTACTATCTAAGCGCTTTTGTGTTTCGGTGATTTAGAATCATGAATTCCAAATGTTTGATAGTTCTATCATCAAATGACGCAAAAAAATTCGACTAAACCGATCTAGTACAAGGCGAAACATTTTATACCGAATGAAGCAGCAAAAGCAAAAAAAGGTACACAGATTGAAATAGAGCACACCGGATTTAGTTAATTTGCAACAAACAATGAAAACCAAATTTTGAATGGAAAAGACATTTGAAATGCAGAAATGCGCAAAACGCATCTGTTGTTGACGAAATCACAGATTTGACCGAATGATTTTGTAAAACAAGTAGCTAGCTTGAAAAAATTTGTGTTCCTATTTGGTAATGTTTGCTATTTGCAGGCCTAAAAATACTCAAAGATCATTGCAAAAAGGAGAACTTCATCAAAAAACAATAGCCAGCTCTTGAGAAAATCACAAATTAAGAAAAATTTTACTATGATACATCACGTCATCTATTTTTAATTGTTGAAACTTTTTTTATTTCTACAAGTTATATTCGGGTGTGGAAAAAACACCCGAACACAATCTGTCATAACAAAAACAATTAATTGAGGATGCAGTCTAGCAGATTCTAAACCAAACTATGTCCGTTTCAACCAATGAGAGGACCATGTAAATTATAAACTGAAATGGAATTCAACGACTCGGAAAAAAAAGAAAGCAGTGAGACAGTTGGAAAAGTGTCAATGAACTGAAAAAGACCAAAAAATGCTGAAATTTTTCTAAAAAATTGACATTCGAATTTCGGAACATAGCCAACACATAGTTGGAAAAAGCCAATGAACGCAAAGAAACAAAAAAAACTTGTTTTTTGAAAAATTTCAACTTTCGAATTCCAAAGAAAAAATAACTCATCTCAAAGTCCTTCGAATTTCAAGAGACGTTCATGATTGGCACTTTTTAAATTAAATTAACTCAATTTGAGACAACTGGAGTAATAGGCAAAGTTTTTATTCTGCTGGGAACCCAAAACAAAAATTCCAGCTTCGAAACTAGATATTGATCACGTTTTTCGCGCTATTTTCTCTGTCGTAATTGGAGAGCGAATTTTGCTACCTTTTAGCAATTGAACTTAAATTAAACTCAGAAAGTGGACATATACTTAAGGGCTTTCATAAATGCATTAATATGTATGAATGCACTTGCTGTAGTTATAAGAGCTGAACAATTTATAATTGACATTTTTTGATTGAATTATTCAAATTTGTTAAAAATTAAAAACTATTTTTGATATTAGACGTCATGTATATTTTTGGAACTGTTAATCATTAGTCGAAACCTTAATTTTCCTGATTTTTAATTTCTTGAAAGGTCGGATGTTCGAGGCCCACCATGATCCGTGCTCGTTGCTTGAGGGTGAAGCAACATTAACCAGCCCAAAAAATAACCAAAAAAAAATTGCATGTAGTTCTTAAACAGGGGCACAACAGCGGTTCGCCGTGATGAGCTGTACAGCTCTTGTGTTGGTCCTTTCCCCCGTGGAAAAATGGTCTTAATGTGAAATGTATTCACAAAAAAATTGAATTGAACTTATAATGAATTCAAAAATCGAACCACCAAAAATCAAATGAGCATGAAAAAAAATCAATTGCGATCCGCAGTATATAATTCTAGTTCTAAGAAATAAGATAATCTCCATGAATATTCAATGTGAGATGTGAAAACGCAAATAAATTTCACATACTTCCGTTATTTTGTCTTCTCGAAGACGTGAAATCTAGATTCTTTGTTTCGATCTTGTTCTCGTGCAGCTTCTTCTTTCCAATCAGATACATGAGCATTTCCAGGACCACTGCCACCAGCAGAGGAGGTGTCTGGAAGTTCTTGATTCGGTCCAGACAACCACTCTCCTTGTCAACTTTGCGACGCCAGCTCAATACCTGGAAATGTATATCATCTTATATACGAATCGACTGGACGTGACAGAACAGACATAATTTCTTCTTTATCTTTTTCAAATACTTCATTCATAACACAGCTATACTTTTCCCATTTAACCCATATTTTGAAATTATATTTCAAAATATGGGTTAAATGGGTGAAATTATCATTTAAGTAATCTTCGTTGGGTCCTAACGAAAACATATTTGAAAGATTATTTTGTGATAATTCAATAAATGCGCTTGCCGCTCAAAATTTTTATGTTCATAGCTTTTTCCTCAAGATTCAATCTACATTTAAGGAATCTAGCTTTTTTCGACAACCTTTTTTTATCGCCAATAAAAATGCATTCGACTCACATTATCTTTGCGTCCCTGCATCTCCTGCCTGATTTCGTCCAACTGGTGGTGCAGATCCATCACTGCTTCATCGAGCTGACTCACTCTCTCAGCAACATTCTTCTCCCTCAGCTGCATGAACTCAAGGCCAGTTTCGTCGTCGTCGTCTGAACAGAATATCAAACCAGACTATACTCAAATCGTGTGATCATTGGACCAGTTCACGCCACGAATCAAAATGAAATAAGTTCAACTTATGGTTAAACTGGATCAATTGCGCAATCTCTAACCCACCCCTTCGCCCGCAACGACCAATTGACCTATTACCTTCCCCCAACGGAGCAAAACCGGCAAAACGCATGAAAACGCGTTATCAAACTCAAGCAGATGGTTGATGTGAATACAACACGCTATCAATAGACTGACTGCACTTCATTTTATATGAGTGTCGGGGAAAAAGATTATATTTGCAAATTTTAGTCCAATCATTGTCTGGAAAACAAGCAACGGTTCGTTCTCTAACTCTATATCTGAATACCAAAAATGGTTCTCCGCAGCACCTTAATAATGTACGCAATATCATTTTTTTCTTCGTTTAAGACAAAAAAATGGCTTTATGTGCATCAATTTTATCCGTACTGGAGTTCCATGGATGAAAATAAAATAAATTTGACTTTCAATGTCAGTGTCTATGAAATCCATTGCGAATCATTTATAATCGATTATTTTTCCTTTTTATAGATAAGACAATAAAACTCTATTAAAATTTATCTCTCCTTCACTTTAATGAAATGAAATTTTCAAAGCACACGAAGTAGTTGTTACGATTTAAACTAAAGTTAGTTATCTGTTGTTCAATATCAAACTTTTTCTGAGCACTTCTTATTTTTGTTACTCATTTTATGTTTATTTATTATGTTTCTTTCAACCACGAATTATGCGGAAGGGGGTGTTGGTTCAGGTGGGGGAAGGGGGTAAAATACAAAAGGACATAGGTTGGGTGGAGAGGATGGAAGTGGGCAAACGTGGGGGTAGGTGTGTTAATGGAATCGTTTTGCAATTTGAGAACGCTTAAGTTTAAAAAACGAATAGACCGTACACTCGCTTTGCAAAAATTCTGCATTACTCATTTGATAAATGCAAAGCTTTGCAAAATTTAGCATGACGCGAAACAAAAACATAATGGAAAAAACAATCCATAATCAATCAGAAAAAAAAATGTTAATCAACTTTTGTTCCATTTTGCTGTCTGAGGACAACATGAAAATCGATTATTTTATTAACATTTTAGACCCCAAAAATCAATTATAATGGATTATTTTTCACTTTTCTTGGAGATGCGAGTAGTCAATTTTTTCTTTGGGAAAATAGATATTGGATTTTGATATTGTGAATCTGGTAATCCACAAGCATTGAAAAATTTGGCGCATACATTCATATTACCCAAACTAATTCAAACTAATTCATAACCAAACTAATAATTCAAGGAGTATCACGTTCTCAAATCTGCTCCACGACCACTTGTAAGATTACCAAAACTAGCCACCGACAAAGCAGCTAGAGTTTCTATCAAAAGGCCAATGCTGCGCAACAAAAATTCGACCAAAAAAAACGGATTCAATATTGCGGTTTTGATTCTCTGACTTGTGTTGATTAGGAATCTCACGTCCTCGCATCTGCATCAAGTTCGCGTGGAAGTAAACTAGTGGCCCAGCTAATGCTGGATCCACCTGTTTTAATATTTTCAATCTTATGTTGAACAGATACGGAAAGGCGCAACTTTCAAAAAAAATGGACTTCACGCAAAACCCTAGTGAGTTCTCTGCTTAAATATGGGATTAGACGCTTAATTAAAGGAGAAATCTACTACTCGCTCTTTCAATTGAAGTCTTTATATTAGATTTGGTCGGCTAATTTTCGAGAAAAAAAAATTCAAAAACCGATCAAAAATTCAAAGAAATAGACCTGCCCTAAAGGCATGAATTTTTCTGTACTAAAGCATGGGAATAGCCTCTTCTGCAATAAATACGCCCACACGCCAATTTTAGATGAAACCTTTGATATCAGATTTAGCTAGTAGTTTTCAAGTGACACAAAAAACGGCAAAATTTTCAATAAATGGATTTTTGCGAACACCATATCAGCTCTTTTACAAATAAACAGAGTAAAACAGATTGCACAAGGAAAATTGAAGCACAATGTTTGTTTGAATGATCTATCAAACTTAGAATAAGAAGTTTAGTTTTTGAAGAAAAAAAATGAATAAATTTCCAAAAACGAGCAAAAGTTCAAAAATTGGATATTTTCTACGGCCATATTTTTTTCAAAACACAGGGCATAGCCGCATGCGCAGAGAAAATTCGCATAACTGATTGTGTTTTTTTTTTCGGTTAAACCCTACATCTCCAAGTCAGCAGGGTAGTTTTGGAGAAAAGTCAAAAAGTTTTAAATAATCAAAAAATGGGCTTGTTTGAGCCGTTAACTTTTTTCTGCCAAATTTAGGGAACAGCCGCTTGAGATGGAGAGATCCCCCTAATTGTTTAGTTTCATTGAAACCCTCATCTCAAATTTGTACATTTATTTAAAATTTGAGAAAATGAAAAAATTCAAAACAAATAGGTCAAAAGTCCCTCTACTGAAAATTTCGAAGGCCGTAGAATGTGGGGTAAAATGAAAAGAGACTTATGCAGGCACATAAAAAAGCAGCTAATTTTTCCATTGGTACCTTTTGTTTTGAAAACTGGTGCAGTAGGTTTTGAGAAAACTGGAAATTTCTGCGAAAAGTGCAAAAAATATTCGAAGCGTGCCATACATTTTCATAATACCTATTTTTTCAAACAGGACCTAACACGAGGCAAAAATAAAGTAGTAGCATATTCTTTTAAAGTGCTTATGCTTAAATGGGCCTAAATATGATTAAAATGAAATATACCAAAAGTGCCACCTAATGAGCACTTTTATTTGCGAGTTAGGTTAGCAAAAAAATTCGTAATTATACACTACACTTCGCTTGGGTGAAAAAAATTCTTCATAATATTACACTAGGCTTTGCTTGTGTAATAATGAATGAAATAGCTGATCAAATCATCACAAAAAAACTGTTTTTGAAACCACTTTTCTGGAGGCAAATCACTTAAAAGAACACCTGATGCTTCCTTTTCGTTTCTTATAAAAATGTGCATATTGGCTTTTGATATTTCTTACCGAAAAAACAATTGATCGGGTCTAGACTCATATATTAACTTCAACTAGCAATCTGGTTATCCAATATAAATGTTTCTTCTTTCAATACCTCTAAGTAAATCATAATCCTGATCTACGAGTGTAGTTTCATTCTGTTGGTCCACTTGTTCCAACATGGTAGCCAGGCTGCCTTTCGTGATGCCACATCTGGCCTTGACCAGTTCCAGAGTGGTGGATTTGTTGGTGAGGAGGTCAAAAAGTTCGTTGCTCTCCTCAGTGCTGCGCTGGTACTCTTCGGCCAGTTCTCCAATTGAGATCTCGAGGTTTGAGATGTCATCACGAACATCCCCCATCGTCTGCAGAGCTCGACTAAAATGAACTGATGTTTGAAATGTTAGATAAGTTGAAAATCTTATTTACTTCAAACGATTAAATGCTATGCCAGAATAGGATGGTGCCAAGAATTCGATTACTAAGCATTAAACTGATTTTTTTAAAAATCTAATTAGATAAGTTGAAAATTTTATTTATTTCACACGATTAAATGCTATGCCAGAATAGGATGGTGCCAATAATTCGATTACTAAGCATTAAACTGATTTTTCTTCGAATCTAATGAAGCTGAGATTTCCAACTTAAGGGCAAAAAAAATTGCAAAAAAAAAAAGATTTCGTTGAACAAGTCATCTTGTATTAGAACTTGAAAGAAGCGGCCATAACCACCAATAGGCACTGGCTACATTGGTGGGAAAAAAGTATAAGTTTTTTTGCTGCTGTCAAATAATTGTGGATTTCAAATTTATTCACGTACTTAATCTTGGACAGTCTGGCATCCAAATTCTCTCTCTTGTCGTTGTAAATGAGTAAAAATGCGTTGAGGAATGTGAGGAAACTCTTGGTTCCGTGGTACACCTCGTGAGGGGCTATCAGGCTCTTACTTCTACTCTCGGCATCCATCATCTCTCCCAGAATCAACTTCGTGTATGGTAAATTGTCCACTTCCTAGGAAAAACACGATGAATTTAAACGAATTGGTGAATAAGTACAATAGGAGAAAAAGTCAAGTTAAAATAATTAATTTAAAACAAAGCCCAAAATAGACTCTTGCTGAGAAAGAATCACAGAAAGTTTCAATCAGAGCAAAAAACTTGAGACCAGCAAAAATTACAGGGACGGAATTAGGGGAGGCGCCTCCCTCTCAGGGAATCGAACCCCTCACCAACTAAAGTGTCCCCATTTGGTTTTATTTTATGACATCAATTTTCGGCCGAAAACCCTAAAATTTTTCTAAAGGCGCCAATATATACTAAGTTTGGAAGTGAGCGTGCGCCAAAAAAAACTTTCGTGCGGCGCAATTTTTTTTGTCAACACAGGGATCTTTATCGTGTTCTGTGAATGCTCGGAATAACAATTTGGTCGACAACTACAAAAAAAGATCGACAAAATACAAGCAAGAAAACGACAAAAATCAGCTGTAAAAAATGATATCATAAAAAATGAGCAATGAAAATGAAAATCTTTTAATTGCACGTCCTGGGTAGTCACACGTCCTCAAATCTGCGCCCTTGACAATTTGCTAACACTAGCCACCAATAAAGCAGCTATATATGCTAATAAATTGCCAAAGCTATGCAGCAAAAGTCGCTCCAAATATAAGCAGACACAAAAGTTGCATATAAAAAATTGGAATATGATAAACTGAAGGCAGTCACGATAACTTCGCAGCTAACAAATTGGAAAACACAAAGTCAAATTATGTATCATTAAAAAATTTCAAAAAATTGCGAGATAGATTGAGTTGAAAAGTTTCCGGAATGCAGTTGTTTGAAACAAAAAGCATTTTTCGATTTTTTGATGAATTTAACATGTATTTACTGTAATAACTTATAACTAATCGAATAACAACGCACATGCTATCAAACAGCCGCAATGGCGCCCCAAAAATGGCATCAAAATGAGCTACTTAGATGGGAAGCAAGAATAGTCATACTATTGCACTACGCTCGCTGACGCTTGCTTGTGCAACAACATTTCACACTTCAATGTCATGATTTTCTCGCTATCAAATATTGACTAAAATGATTACGGAATTGATTTTGCTCATAGTTATTGTCTTGAGTGAGGTCAACACAAACGCGTAGGGTATCAAGTGTAGTATAATAAAGTTCTTTCAGTGATTATTTGGATTCCGATGAGAAAAAGATATTTAAAAAAAAGTCTAATGTCGCGAAGCACAGGTCTCAACGTTTTGCTATGCACAACTATAAAGATAAAAAACCGGCTGGTATTAAGTCTTCACTACAAGAGGACGAATTCATCTTTAATTTTTGCAATATATATATATATATATATATATATATATATATATATATATCAATGGGTTGTTTATTTACTTTAACAAAACAACTTCTTCACATAGCCAACTGACAGTCAAAAAAGAGTGATGAACGCAAGGAAAATGAAAAAAAAAACAACTTGTGTTTTCTTAAATTTTCTTTTTGAATTTCGAAGAAAAAAATAGATGGCCTCGAAGCTCTTTAAATTTGTAGAACAATTCATGAAGAACACTTTTCTGATTAAATTAACCCCATTTGAGAAAACTGGATCAATAGGTATATTTTTAATTTCTCTAGGACATTTTATAATTAACTTACATTTCTGCTGTTCAATAGTGGAGTTTGCCTTCCTTTTAACAATGGAAATGCACTGAACTTTAAAAGAAATCACAAGTCAAACCGCGAAAAATCAAAATTGAACGTGAACAAAATTTAAGAATTTTTGCTGAAAAAAAAAACAAAAAAAAATCAGCAAGACTTATATAAGAGTACTCACTATGTTCATTACTCTTAATAAGTTTGAGATAAACACTCGAATCGACAAAATCAAACTCGAAATTTTTCGAGAAAAAAGTTTTATTTTTTTAAAATTCTAATGGCTATGATGTGGTTAGAGCACTCTTTTTAACCTACACTGGTTATGATAGTCAAAATTTAAAAACTGCTCGGTCTTTTTGTTTCGGAAACTCAAAGGAGAGAGGAACTTTGTCTTCGGGTGCAATTTTTTTAGATTAATTTTTATTGTTTCCCTACGCAAAATCAGGTAATATACATAATTATCACCTAGGACATAACCATTTTTCGAACTACTTGCTCAGGTTCGAGAAAAACCGGTTTGAAAATTTTGCTTTTTAGGCCCATTTTGAGCAAGTAAAGAGAGTGAGTAGCTGTTGTAATGGGAAAAGCCGTGAAATTTTAGTTGTACTACAAGTAGACAAATTTTTGAAGTTTCATTTAGCGCTTGCTTGGTAATAAATTGTTTTTTTTTTTCAAAATTCAAAAAATAATCTGCGAACAAGAAAAAAAATTTCAGAATTTTTTGTCAGTTTTTCGTTTTTTTTTTATTAATTTCTCAAAAAAAAACTTGTTTCAGCCGTTGTTTCAACTGCTTCAACCGCTTCGGTTATGCATAACTTACTATTCCTCTCATCGCGCCACTAACACAAAAACGGCACAAATTCGAAAAACAGTTTGCTAACTAATGCGGTGTGGGCAATCACCCACACTTATCTACCATATGCATTTTTAGGCTACCTTGCTGGATGTTTTGTAGTTGACTTCTCCCTGTTTGCGGTGCTGCTTGACGGAGGTGATGGTGATCTTGTCCGTGTGTTGTCCCACCATCTTCATTTGGTCACAGAAGGACAGCATGTGCCAGTGGATGTCCACTAGACACTTCTCCACACTCTCACTACACAACAGAGAAAATAGAGGGGTGGTTTTCCTCTCATGAATAAGTGGAATGTCTCAGATTTTAATATTTTAATGATGCTCCAACAATTACAATCTAAAACACTTAATTTACGCCTGAAGAGCTTGATAAAATTCAAGCACACGTTTTAAAAGACGCTTTAGTACCTTATCTGGGGCTGTTTGAACTTGAGTTTGGAGTGGGAGACGAAGAACTTGGTCTGGTTCTGCAGCACTTCCCTGGACCAGTCTCTCACCCAGTACACCTCACAGCACGACAGGAACCCAGGAAACTCCCTAAACAACTTAATTTGAAACATCTTCCAGTAAAGAGCCGATCATAGAGAAAAGTATCAAAGAGAAGGAAAAAAAATTAACATGTAAAGTATGGCAAATTTATGCAGTCTAGTCGTAAAATTTCTTGGTCTAAGTATATAATTACAAAATTACAACATCGACATGAAAAATGCTCTTCAAAATAATTTAGATAATATGCCTCATTAATAAACTGAAATAACCTGGATGCTCTGTTGATTAGTGAATGACTCGGAGGCAACGTGAAGAACATGTGAAGATTCTTCGTCACATTGTGAACAAAATACTTCTCCGGATCCACCACCTCGTTCGGGAAATCCCTTCGGATTTGCGGTCCAAGTGCCTGGTATAACCCCTCTATTTCATCAGTAGAGAACAGAGTCGTGTAGTCACCCGAAATCAGTAAACTATTTAACGTGTGAAGATACATGTCGTGAGTCAAATCGCGAGCCGAGATGCATACTGCGAGAGTTCGGCCTTCAGATCCAGTCATTCGGACAATGGAGCGAAGTCCATCCATGAATGCACTTTCAGAGGAGAAGTCTACCTTGAATTGGGATAAACTTGCTACCCGACAGACCAGTTTGAGTAGCGTCGACATGTTGGTACCGACACTTCCGACAATCACCATGTTTCCACTAAAAACAAATTCGATCAAAAATGTTACCACTCGTTGGTGTTAAGGCAATTAAAATCCAAACTACAAATTGCCTGCTGAATGTTTCAAAGGCATTGGACAACAATTGGACTATAAAATTTTAAAGCGAAATTTTTATATAATTACTTATAATTGGGGTTTATGCGATTCGCAGAGGATCTATGAAAGGCTTGTCCAGCATGCTTAAGCAAAGTACGTTTCTACTACTTCCACACGTTCAAAACTGAGTTAATTTAATGAGCGAATCTGTTGTTGCAACTCAAGGCCGTTTTCTGTATCTAGAAATTTCATGTGGTACCATTATTGCAGCCGAAATTTTTCAGGCTGTGGTAGACCTGAAGCTAGAGTCAAGTGAAGAGCTCGTACTCACAAAGTATCATTGTCATGATAGGGGATCGATTGCACAATCTGAATGCCTTACCATTATGCTTATTTCCCTATTTAATAATTGTAACCAATTTTCCCTCATTTTCAACTAACTTAGACGGCAACGTGAATGCTCTGTAAGCTGCAATGATCTGCTGCAAGATGAAATCCGACAGCTTCACGTCGATCTTCGTGGCTCCGAATTCGTCATTGTGTGCCTTCAACTGCGACTGAAGGAAGTTCCTGGTGGAGTCGAAGTTATCCAGGGGTCTGAGGTCGCACTTGATGGACTGCCGGGCCATGATAGACAGACCCTCGGAGGGGGAAGGGGTGATGGGCGATCGAGTATCGATGGGGAGGGCAGAGAAGAGTTGTTTGGTACAGTCAGCGCTCACTTCCAGCTCGGCAAAGTACTGAAAAACATAACCAATAGACAGTCGAAACAGTGCGGATTAAATCAAGAAAACCTAACTGATTTAGAATTAAAGGTTCTAATCAAAATTAAGTCTGCAAAATCGAAAAAGTTGAACTTAGTTTTCTTGACACTGACATAACTTTTTTTGATTTTTTAGAATGCGACTCAAAGGGCTCCAATTTGATACCATAATTCTACTCTTTCAAGTTTTCTTTGAGGAAGTCAAAATTAACAAGAAAAAACAGACGCAATGCAATAGTAAGCCTCATCATTTTAAGGCGTGGTCGAAACAAAACGTTTCTTTCTTGGCTGATTTGCATTAAAAAATCAAAAATTGAAAACAGAAGCACGTGACGTCATACCTTGGAAACAGTGTGAGTGAGGAGGTGGTTGAACCAGTAGAGATCTGCCTGGCGACACAGCTGGTCTTCGATACTCCTCCTCAACTCATGCAGCCACAGAGAACTAATCAGCTCCCTACTCTGACGCAAGTCGTCCTTCGCAAACACCAACATCTAAAACACATATGAACAATGCCTAGATTTGGGTGTTTACATTATTAATACATAACCGTTTGCGATCAAATTTGGCGCTACCAACCATTGCACGTGAAATTGCTAAAACCATTGCAAGGACAAAACGTCTCAAAATGCTTTGACCTACCTTATAGCTTCGTAGAATATCGTACATGGAGAACACGTAATGCTGTCTTCCAGGGGTGGAGGAACTCCTCAACACATTACACACTTCATTCACTACATAGGCAGATGCATTCACAATCGCATCTTGGATCTCTTCGTCCAGACTCAGACCCTCGCTTCCCTGTCAAACATAACCCCCATTGATCAATAAACCATGAATTTCCAAACAATAGATCCAGAAAACGACATGAAAAATGAAACTAACTTCATTGCATTCGGTTTCTCATGCTCACGACTTTCTAGGCGATCAAAACAATTTATAAATCGTTTCGTTCGTGGTCATTTGACAATATTTCGTTTCAGAATTATTGAGGTAAATACATTGAGACTATAGGTCGTGTACTTTATAGAATTGATCCGGTGATGATAGAAAAAAAAACGTAACTTTAGACTATTTACACAATCTAAACACCCCCCCCCCCCCATGAGAGGACATATTATAACTATCGCACCTGGATTTCAAACTGGAGCACAGCTTTGAAAATAGACACCAATTCTTTTTCCTGTGGACTGGGGAGGAACACGGGTAAAAAGTGTCTAATGAGTCTATCGGAGATGAAAGGCACAGTCTGGTTTGAGCTTAGATTCGAGTTCATTTTCACTGTGTCTATGTTGGGGTCCGTGACCATTGACGTGACGATGGTGAGGTCTTCGATTACTCGCCATTCGTAAGGCTTGTCCGCTTTCATAAGGACGGATTCGTCAAGAAGGGTTCTCAGCAGCTAAAATAGACTAAACGCTTATACCGTTATACACGAAGAGCATTTATCACCAGAAAGCGATGAATAAACAGACAAGTTTTTGAGCAATTTACGGAGAAAAATTATTAATTAATTAAAGAAAAGACTTTAATTAAAGCAGGCAAATATTATTTATGGATTCTTAGTTTGTATAAAATAGTTTTCAAGAACACTATGCCGATTTGAACTTTTTTGTATGACCTTCGGATCATGGGATATTGCAGTGTCAATTGAAAAAAAAACGTGTGAATGGAATCTTTGTTGCTTAAATCTCTTGGACTAATTAAACTAGAAAACGTCAATTAGTTAAATTTGAGACATACTTGATTGGCAGGTGGTTCATAGTGGTTGCATCTAGGTAGATTGACGTCATCGAGAAACACCTGGAGACGCTTGCCCTCCGGGGCTCCGTAGACGAAGCCTAGAATGCACCAGTTGATGTAAAAAAATTTTAGAAAACGCATTTCATTAAAACTAGCACACAGGACCACATAACAAATCATCGCGGACTTGTTAGCTAACAAATATTTGAAATAAATCTAACAGGCACAAATGATTATATTTGAAGAAAAATAAAAAAAAATAAGAGCTTAAAATTATCGATTTTGGTTCTACAAGTAAAGTGATTGCAACAAAAAACATCGATTGAATATGAATTCAAAATATTGTGAAAAGAAATGGAAGATACTTTTGCAAAACTCCAAAAACCAAACACACAAAATGTTTCAATTATAAATTACCTGGAACTAGATGGATCCCGTATTTCGCTGGAAAGATGCAACTCGGTCATAAATGTTAGTTTGAAATGAAAATGACTAGCAAGGGTTCCTGAAGGCGAAGATTAAATTAGTTGTTTGGGTTATGAAATGACCAAGAAGGATTTTAAGATAATTTTGCCAATTTGAATTCATCCCACCCCATCAATTTTCGGTTGATGGTGGCGCATTCTCTATATCGCATACGCAGCAGAACTACACATGGATGGGTTTTGACATTGATTATACCTTTCAAAAAGATCGACTTGAATTCTGCGCAAAATGTCAAAATTATTTTTAAAGAAGTTTAAATATCTGATTATAGTTATCTATTAAAAAGACGACAACACAATTTAACTTGATTCAAGCTCTTAGTTCAGATCAGCCACCTTATTTGCCGAGTTTTTTAAAGAAGAGCGTGGCCGAGATTCGAACCTTGTCTGTGGCAGATGCTCTCTGAGAAGAAGTCATTCAGATGTTTGACAGAAGAATAGCTGGATTGGACAAGTCTTCGTGTAAGGCGGGCTCCGGGATCTTAAACCAAAACCTTTTTCAGTACAAAACACCAACCTATCTGTAAAAATGAGCATACATTATCCCAAAATCAAGCAAGCCATCTAATGAAGCAGAAGTCACCAAAGTCCATAATGAGCGTTTTCATTTCAACGATGTTTATTCATAAAATATTTATGAATTTTAGCTACCTTTTACTAAAACTAAATGCTTTTTTATCAAAACTTGCTTACTGTTCAGCTCTTGTTCGTCCAGAATATTATTAATCAACGTCGTCTTCCCACTCCTTGGAGGACCATACACCATCACATGCTGACCTCCCAGCAACGCGAAATGAATCAACTCTCGGGCCTGCAGGTTGGATATAGTATCTACATATAATTTCTTCAGAGGTTCAAGATTTTCCCCGGATTGGGTAAGTTCAGGCACTCGCGATCCCCAGTGGTCCCACTCGCCAGACTCGTCGACGAAGTAGTCGAACACCGAGTTGTCGGTGTCAAAGTCGGGAAGACTGAATTAAAATTTAAGTCAATTCTTTTACAGAAAAATACAATCTATAGAAACTTTAGAAAAATACATTAAGTTTTCATTCATCGATATCTTTGCCCGTCCAGCACAAAGGTTCTCGCTAAGCTTGTATGTTATCACAGAAAACATGATCAAATTTTAAAACAAAAAGTTATTCTCCTTCAGTTTGAAACCAGCTTTTGGAGGTTCCTATGCTCAAAACAATAATCAATACACGTAAGAAGAGGGTTCGAATGCTGCAAAAAGAAACTAACGCAGTGGATAGATTTCGGATCAAGTCGTTCATTGGTTTGCGCTCCTCCTTCGTCAGAAGTCCACCGAAAGTCCAAATCAGAGAGAAGAGGAACAACCTCTCCACATGGATAAGACCTCCTGAATCAAAAGAGCCAAAAATAAAATTCCGGCAACTTAAATGAAATATTTCGCCATGGCACGTATATACTTTTTCTAAAGCTCGCCTTAGAAGCCAAAAAAGAATTAAGAAGCTGTTTAAAATTAACTTTATAGACATGCTTTTACTAGCTTCAATCGCTACTGAAGATCCAATAAACCATTTTCAATGCAATAACGTCTAAATGGATCTATAAAGAAGGTCGTGAGATTATAGCTGCTTGCTTACTCTTACCCGTTACGTTGGCATAATCTTCCAGTTCTAGCAAACAAAGCAACATTAATTTTAAGATTTTTACTGATTTTGAAATATTCAATTTCTCAAAGACAGCTTCATTAACTCAACATAATATAAATTGAATTACGTCGACTGGATTTCGACTGGATTAATTTCGATAAAAAGCACGCCGAATGATATTCAATGGTACCTACCGATATCTGAGTTCTTCATGAGGGTTGTGAGGAATCCGAGACAGTTGGTCACTAAGCCGATTTCACAAACAGGGATGCGAGTGGTGAGCTCTCTCAGCACTTTTTTGGCCATGGCAGGGAACAGCTTGTTGAACACACTCTCCAGAAACTAAAATCAAAGACCAACTTGAAACCTTTTTTTCCTAAATGATTGTCAGTTGACAGCTGACACTTTTTGTGAATCGCGCAACTCAGCTTAACTCATTTGGAGTCACAATTACAGTTTTCTGATTTGTTTTAGTTGTTTTTTCGATCAACAGTTTTTCTTTAAAATGCAGTTTCAACTTGATCGCAGGGTAACTTGCTTGTTGTCTGCTTCGCCAATTTGTCCAGGTTTTCGAAAACTAAGTAATCATTTCTTTAGAAAAATGTATTACTAAACTAAGTTTAAGCAAATGGTAGAGTAGAGCACTTTGGTAGTTATAATTTTTGTCACCAAAATTCAAAATGCTCGCCAACTCGGAAAAAAGCAGCCTACAATTGTTTAAAACTCTAGATGGTTGAATTTCTAGACAGTGTGATGATTGACTTGCCTTTCTATCGTTGAGGTTTTTGATGTTGTCAATAAGCCAAGAGTGGACAATGGAATTCCATTTAAGGCAGTCTGCTGAATAGTACGTCATAGCCTACAACAAATTTAGACTCAAAATTCAAAAAAAAGATCAACTGAGAATACCTGATGATTCAAGTTGATATATCAAGCTGTCTGAATTGTTTTCACTAGTTTTAGAAAAAAGGCTGAAACTATTGCGAATGTTGCGAGTTCATTTGGAGATCAAAAAAGACGATAAGAACCATTAACAAGCTTGCTAGTATAAAAAAAATTGACTGCAAGCATTTTGATTAAGCGTACCGCCTTCGAAGTAATAGATGGGGAAGCGTGATCGAGTCTGCATGTCTCGAACACCAGTTTGACGTTATCACTTATGAATAGCTGTTCGCCATTGTCACAGAAGAAGCTACTGGGAGACTCTAGAAGGGATACGAATCGCTCGGCCCATGAAGGCTCAATTGTGGAGTCCAGACAAATCCAGGTCTTGTTCGAGTGCTGAAAAAAGAATATCATAATCTTTCGCCATGTTCTTAGATTTAAAATTTTAAACCGTTTTCCCAACGAAGACAACTTTTTTATATAAAAATAAATTATATCAATGATTATGAACACAGCTGAATATTTGTGGCAAGTAAAAACTTTATGGAAGAAGAATGTTAGTGGGGTTTATGGGTTAAGGTGTAAGGTTCCAATGCCAGTACCTCCAATTGCCAACACAAATGACTCACCCTATTCGCTTTTCTCAGGATAGTTGTGAACAACCCATCCACCCACTCTGCACCCTGGTAGAATCCAAACATATTTGAGGGACTGTCAATAGCACGTGGGTTGATGCGAACCAGTCTGTGACTCACAGCTCCCATTGCAGTTGTGCCTGTACTGTGTTCGCTCTGGGCGTTGTCGGCTGAAATCATGCTTCCCGAAGAGATCGGGGACTCCAGTTTCGCCAGGGCATCCACTAGAGTCGCCAGGGTTGAGCTCTTACCGGATCCAGTTGGGCCGCAAAGAATCATTCCTTAAGATACAAAAAATTAGATCACACTTCAAAAAACTCAATGTCGTCAAAAAATTTGCAAAAATTAGACAACAATTACAAAAAGTTTGTAGCAATTGTGTCGTGGGCTCTTTTCAAAAGAATGTGCAAAGTTTTTTGTCTCAATCGCAAAATATTCGAATCACAAGCGAAGTAAAACTTAAGGTGTCCAGTTTATAGCCAATACCGTTGCAGTCACTAACCGTGATTAGTGAGAGATGCCGTGTATAAACTGATGCACTTGTCCACCCATGGCTGGAACATGTGCAGGTTCTTGGCCTCACACACACTCTCAATCTCCTCCTGCAGAGCAGCAGGGGCCAGAGTAACCTGTGGCACATCAGGAAGACCCCCGAAGATGTCCCTGATCACCAGGCCCAGAATGTGCATGTCCTGAAACACAACTGGATCACTAAACAACTAAACAATGATTTTTTTATATAAATCACTCTACCAGATAGTTTTTTAAAACTCAGAGCTAGGCTTCGACCCCCCTCCAACGAGCAAATTTTAATTTGTTGAGCTTGTCAAGATGCCAAGAGAAGACTATTCCTTTTAAGGCGGTGTTTCCAGAAAGCGATGTTTCAAAATAACAGCACTTCATGGGAGTTCAACTATTTTTTGTTAGTGATGCCGGAGTGTGCTTTCTAAAATACTAAATTGAATAATCTATGTATTTAAAAATCAAATTAATCTAGATTATTCTTGTACAGATTAAATTCGCATATACTGACTGGTTGATTGAGTTTGAGAGATAAAATGTCCAACAATACATCTCCGACCACTGCATGTTCCAATTTGGAATTGTTCGGAAGCGTCTGTACCACACTCTTCTTTCCCAGCAGTTTCTGCAGAGACTTCTGTGCCTCAATCGCCGCCTCTCGCTCACGCGCTTGTTTAGCTACAGCAGCTGAAATAATTATTCGATCACGTATAATCTATTCAAACAGAACGGTTGGTAGAAACTAGAAACTGATCCAAAATTGGTCGGATTACCAGTCATTTTTAAAATCATAATATCATTGAAGGTTTCTCAAGTGTCTTTATGAAATAATTTTTCAATTTGGACACTGGTTGAAGTTCTGATTAGATTTGTACAAACAAACAAGCCTTGATTTAAAAATAGTTAATTGTTTCACCAAAAACAGTTGATTCATGGTAAGTTTAGGTAGTAGGCATCAAAAAGTTACCTTGAAGATCGCGACCATACAAGCCGCGCAACTTTTCTAAAATTGTTTGGTTAAAATATTTCGATGACATTTGACAACACAGAATAAAGATAACATTAACAAGATTACAATCAAAGAGAGAAAAAAACGATCTCATCTGACAACAGAAGAAAACTAAAAAATTGCAATCAAACAACTAATTAAAGTAAAGAGTTGAAGTATATTTGCGAAGAAAGCCTGAAACATGAATTAAACATCACAGATATCATGCTAGAAACCAAGAACGCCGATTTTTAATTCCTGTAATTAAACAGAAACGACTTCAGTGGTAGAAAAGAAAACACACTACTGCTTCGACGGAACTAAATAATCATCGCCAAGTTCAAAAAGTATTTGGGCAACCATATTTTCAAAATAATTTGAAAAAATTCACTGTTATTGCATTTAACGCAATTTGAGTTGCTCATAAAAAAATTAACATTTGAAACAAAATAACAATGAAACAACATTATGCAAAAAATCAATTTCGAATCATGTTGAATAAACTCAAAAGAATTCTCAAACTTTCCTCTGAAAGCAAAATTAATTGCATTTTATCTGTCTTATGAAAACCTACCATATCAGACGGCTTGCTAATGTATGCTGGAAACAGTTTTGTGAGACAAAAAGTAAATTTTTGCTCAACAAAGAAAAAAACTTAACGAACAAAATCTCAAACAAAATATGATCGCAATCGCTCATTGAAAAGAAAAATCAAGAGCTTTACTTCTATGGTTCTATGACTTATTTAAGTTCTGCTTTCGATCATTGAATCAATTTTTCTCACTCCCTAACTACATAGTATCTTCACAAAAAAACTTCTAACAATAACAGCATATCAGTTATTCGTGCGTATAACCGGCTTTTGTAAAAAGAACATAGAGGCTCACCCCCCCCCAAAAAAAAAGGAGCTAAGACAACTTGCTACAAATAAATTTTGGAAATATAACTTTAACTGAAAAATATAATTAGTAATTAACTTTTTTTAATTAATTCTATTATATTAATTAATTATTATTTATAATTATTATTTATAATTAAATTTATTAATTATATTATACAATTAGTAATTATATTTAGTAACAAGGATAGCCGATTTTTGTGCAAATAGCACAAAATGTTCCGACTCTAGTTTTAAAAAATGCAACGAAAAAAAATTTTTTTTCTTAATTGAAAAAATTTTTTTTTTCGTTGCATTTTTTAAAACTAGAGTTTTTCGTTCACATCTTTATCACACCACACCGAAAAAACGACACTTAATTGTGTCGTTTTTTCGGTGTGGTGTGATAAAGATGTGAACGAAAAACTAGAGCTTAGACATATTCGAAAGTCATAGTAAAATAAGCAAATGGAACAACTTTTATTAATCAGTTTAGATTAATCAGTTGTAAGCTATTAAAACAACAAACTGTTGTAAGCCTGCTCGCTCGCTTTATTCGTTCGAATTAAGACTAAAAACCAAAAACTTTAAACCCGTTTTTCTCAAAACTGGGACAATTTTTTTAAAAATTTTAAAATGTCGTTCGGCTGAAAATGCTTTAATATGATACAACACTTGACCCAGTCCGATAATTTTTCGTGGTACCTGATTTTCCGTGGAATAAAAAATAAAACACACTCAAATACAAAGTTCTTCCCCATTTTTCAAATGGTCGGAACAACAACCATATTAGGGGAAAATACTCACTAGATCCTGACTGCTATCTAATTCGTAGTTTTCCCTAAATTTGTTTTATCTAAATGAGAATAGCTCTCCTTTTAAGGCAGCTAATATGCCACAAAACATGGACTTTCAAACTTTTCCAGCTTAGGAGATATCAAAAAATTCCATGTTCATCAGCAAGCTTAGAAAAAACTCCCAGTGCTTATATTTTCAGGAGCTGCGATCGAACGCAGCCAATCGAACATAGCCAACAGACAATTGGAAAAGAATAATGAACCAAAGCAAGCAGAAAAAAAACTGACGGAAACAAAAAAAAACAAAAGAAAGGAAACAAAAAAAGGATACAGAAAAAAAAGACAGTCGAAAACTGACTAAAAAAACCATAGTCCCAAAAGTTCTTGTTTTAATGGTTCTAAATTTCATTTGAAAACTGAATACTCAATCTAAATTAAAATTGAAGAGAAACTTTGAGGGTTATTTACTAAGAGCAACCCAATGCGCGTAAAACGCAATCGCGTAACCACAATTCGCTTAAGATTGGGGGGTTTGAAAATACAGTAGTCAAAATACTTGACTGAAGGTAGAACAATAAAATTCATGTTCAATTTCGCGCTGGTGATCAGAAACTTCAAATAGGTTCTGGTCCACCTTTTGTTCTCAACTTTGCTGCTATTGACTGGCTAGGAAGCTGAACAGACTGATCCAATTCCTCGACTGCACAAATATAGAATCAGGAAGATTTGAAAGCTTAAGCAGTATTAAACCCAAAATAAATTATGTGTCATTGTTAAAAGATATTACTTCGTTTTACCATATTGTAAAAATCATATTATTTATTTATCTGAAAGAATGAGGATTAATGGACGAAATCTGCAAAATTTAACTTTGTCGGGAAGCGCATCGAGAAAATATTCCCTGAATTAGGCCTAGAAAAAAACTGATGGCTCACTCTGTTGCATCTGTGTGGTGGAGTATCCCTGTTTGGCGAACTCAGGATACAACTCCTTCATCCGGTTGAACTTGTCCTTGGCCAGACTGAGTGCCTGCTGCAGCATTGGCACACTCACACTGCCCCTCTCACTCCTACCACTCCTATGTACACCACAGCCATGTAAGAACAGAAAAACAACACACAGAGGCGAAGCTCACCTTCGCACCACTTGCGATAAGAAAAATGAACGTGTAATTGAAAGCAAATGAAAAGACTAATCTAAAATTGCAAAAAAAACTTCAAAAAATCGTTGTTGTTTTTTTAGCCTAAAAACACATTCCCTGCACCATTGGAAGTGGAAACTCAGCCGACAAAAAAAGCACAGACGATAAACTTAAAGAGCCGAAAATTTGGCTCTTTAAAGAGGTCAGAAAAGGTCCCAACTGAAATGAATTCTTTAAATTTGAATAAAAACTTTGGAATTGAAGCCGACAAAAAACCCTACCAGATGGCATACCTGCGTTTGAAAAAAAAAATTGAACCGACGAAAAATAAGACGAAAAAAAACTTATCCGAAAAAAAACATGAACTTTTTCTCTTCATTTATTTAATTCTTCCCAAGTCTTATAAATTAGCAACCGGTTTTCAATGAAGAATTACATAAGCTCTTTGAAATTCAAGAAACTTTCATGAATAAAATTTGCGGATTAAATAAAAACAATTAAACAAAACGACAAACCAAACCCCTGAATTTCACTTTTGGCATTACAATTGAAGCCCAGATAAAGCTGGGGGTACATGAAGGATATTGAATGAATTGGCTAAACTGATGCGGCACAAAAAATTTGATTTCAAAAATTGGACTTTGTTAAAACCGTTGTTCTTTTTCTACTAAAGTAAGTGAGAAAAGTAAAAAAAAATGTTGATCAATTTTTTCAAGGAGATAACATTTCTGTAGGAAGAATTATCGCAACCGATTTTTTCAGTTGACTTTTCATGTCAGATTTGATTGTGTTAATTTTGAGAAACTTTAAAGAAAAAACGATCGGGAAATCAAAAATTTGATTTCTCCGAGGGCAATAACCTTTTGTGTAAAAAAAACATTCTTAGTGGCCGCTAATGCTAGGGAGCTTTGCACTTCCATTATCTTCTTTTTTAACCCACAATATCAGATTTGAGAAGTTATTTTTCGAGAAAAGTCAAAACGATTCACAAAACGGTAAAAAATCAAAAACTTGACTATTCCGACGAAGGCCATAACTTTATGCGTACAAAACTTGGACGTAACTTCTTATGCAGGGAGCTTTTCCAAAGCTTTCTATACATTGAAACCAAAAAACTGAGATTTGAGAGGGGTAGTTTTCCGAGAAAATGAATACATCAAAAAATATTCTCCACAGACTTTTTCGAAGACTGTAGACAGAGGTCAATTATGAAAAGGCTCTAGTGGAGTATGTAGGCAAAGATGGGAGTAAGCGGTCTTTGAATTGATACCCCTGTTTTGAAAATCAGAAAAAGTGTCCGAGAAGCACTAAATTTTTTCCAATAAATTTGGAAATAATTTTCTATTACAAAAATAGAGAAATTTCAACAAACCAATTGGAAATCATACAACCAATTTGAAAAGTGCGAAGGGGAGTGTTCAAATTGTGTTGCCATTGAAATGCCCCAAATTAGGTCATCAAGCCGATAAAAAAATAGGCCGAGGAACTTTTTTTAGCGAAACAAAAAAATACAAAGAAGGAAATACGAAGTCAAGGTAAGTAAAATTAGAAATTGTAGGAGCAAATCAATCAAGGAAGGCAACATTAGAGAAAAATGTGCGCAGCAAAAAAAAAACGATTTATAAAAAAAACGACGTGACAACTAAGCCGACAACAGATAAGCAGACAAATAATACGCCAACAATTTTATTTGAAACAGAATATTTCCCATTTGAAAAAAATCTAGTCACCCATATTCGCTACCTCCAGGCTAAGTTGGCCGGGAACGCATAGAAGTTTGAATTCATTATGAACCGAGATGCAAGTGATTCTGATAAACAAGTGGTTAACCCGAAAAAGTATATATTCCAGTTTGATAACGCTTGCTTATCGCAAGCATAATTACTACCGAAAAAACGCTCGTTAGATATACATGAAATCTTTAAAAATTCATTATGACAGCACGAGAAATTAACTTCACGTAATTCTTGAGCTCTTAATATATATATATAAGAAAAGCTGTTTACGAAAAAAACTACATGTACTGGAAAATACCAGCATAAATTGACAACAGTTTCAAAAGTTATCACAAAAATAAATAATAAACTCCGAGTGAACTCCAATGAAATCATTTTAATTGTAAATCCGCTAAGTTCAATGAGATAATTAAATTTTATAAAGAACATTTTATTCAAAGTGCAATTTGATTTTTCATTTTCAACTTTTATTTATTTCTTTTCCCAAATTTCCATCATAATTCTTCAACTCTACTTACAAGTAGCTGTCCACAAGTTCGAATACAATTTTGATCCTGTCGGCGAGCAGTTTCGGATGTCGGAACCCGAGAGCAGAAGCAGTGGTCCGAATGATGATGCCCACATCGGGCATAGTGATTGCCACGTTGCGGAATCGCTCTCCTAGTTCGGGAGGCAACTCGTTCAGCAGTTTGGAGGAGGTACTCATGATGAACATGCTTGGCGACACGTGGACCTTAACAATCAGGTCGATTGAATCTTTTATGAAATACGTTCAAGAATTATATAAAAAATCATCCTCAACCAGTAAAAGGGACGGAAACTTTCTTAATCCCAGCATAAACGAAAACACTCATTATAGAATACTCCTTTTTTGGAGAAGGTAAATCAAGACTAATCCCTATTTGAAGAAAATAAAATTGACAAAATGCTTCTATTTAAACAGGTATTTGTAAGCTAAGATTTTACCTTGCGACCGTTGCTGAGGTAGACTGAGGTTCGACTTCCCCCAACCATTCCATCATCTGATCCCACGTCTCCGTCACTGCTAGTGTGACTTCCTCTCTCAGTCAATTCAGTTCCCTGTTTGCCCAGAAGAAGTGAGGGGCTCTGGTCAATGAGGGTCTTCACCGTCTTTTGGAGAATGAGGTAGTTCTGCAGGAACACTGAAAAGGGGTGTCCGACCAGCAGGTCTACATTGCGCACTAGCAACCAGTGTCCAGCCTAAATCATTCATATAAATGACTTCGAAAAAGGGAAAAAAGATCAAAAAAGATTAATAATTTCTGACTTTCAGAATCAATCGAAATGAAATCAATTTCAGAAAATTTTGGCCAGAATAGCCAAAAAGAATAGCCAGTTTTCTCGACACTTGACATATTTTTGAACTTTATAGAATTGGAACCACGCCAATAGACTTCAATAGGATGACATAATTGACCCAATTTACGACCTTTCATTCAGGAGGTCAAAATCTACAAGAAAAAAAAACACATCGTACATCATTTCCCACCCACTTCGTGAAGTGGTCGGAGAAACAGGGAAGCAAGAGAAAATTTCTTAAAAGCAATCGAAGATTTTCAGTAGATTTATGTTAATGAACAGAAAAACAAATGACCAATGAAGAATACGCTGATAGCTTCAAATCAGACAGTAAAGTAGAAAAATTTAACAAACAATCAACCAAAAATTTTTCAGAAAATTGTTAGTGATAAAAGATAAAAAAATGCACAAGGGCGGATCTAGGATTTTCTCGAGGTGGAGCGGATTTTCAAAAAATTTTCGAAAACTTTGTCGACTTTTTTTTAGGTCGACCAAATTGATTTTCCGAACTCTCCTAAAGCACTAAAAAGACGCTGTTTTGGCCAAATTTTGTGCGCCGCAAACAAATTTTAGAAAAAGCAGGTCAAAAAGCCGTGGTTTTGACAAAAAAATCGCGGTTTTTTGGCGCGCGCTCCCCCTCAAAGTTAGTATATATTGGCGCAAAAGGCGCCTTTAGAAAAATTTTAGGGTCGGTCTGCCAAAATTGGATTTCTTAAAAAGTACCAAAGGGGGGACCCTTTGGGTCGGCAGGGGGTCAAATCTTGAGGGGGAGGCGTCCGCCCCCCCCCCCCTAAATCCGCCGCTGAAAATGCATATGGACTAACGGCGGCTATTCCCTGCATGCTTCTCAAAATGACTTCTGGCTGAGTAGCATCGTTGCAGTCCAGTACAGTCACATTCCTGGCCAGTAGATGGGCAATGCCAGTGGCTGTCTTCTGTTTGCCAGAACTGACATCACCCGAGTAGATCACACCCTCTGCCGCTTTGATAGCCTGAACATCAGAAATACTTAACAAAATAATTACTGCAAAAAAGAGCCTTTTAAGATTTGAAAATTTGTTGTTTTCTATTTCCTATTGCAAACATTGCCAACAGACAATTGGAAAAGAGTCAACGAACACAAAGAAACAGAAAAAATATGAATTGTTATTTGAAAAAACTTCAATTTTCGAATTTCAAAGAAAAAATATATGATCTTGACGCTTTTGAATTTCAAGAGTAATTTATGTTTGGCACTTTTTTGATAAAATTAACCAAATTTGAGAAAACTGGATTTTCAGGAAAAGAACACTTAAATTCGACTTTCGAATCTACAAATTGATCTGCTTTCGTAATTGGAGAGTACATTTTGCCTACCTTCTAGAAAATGAACTTGAAGTGAACTCAAAAACTGCATATATACTGAATACTTAAGGGTATTCATATGTGCATTTATAAGTATGAACGCACTTCTTTTTTATTAGAGCATTTTAAAACTTTTCCTGAAAAAAAAACAAAAAAGAATCTGGCCTGTCAAAAGGCCTGTCAAAAGATGGTCAAATAAGAATCTGAACTACGTTCATCGACTCTTAAAAAATCTCTGAAAAGAAAAAAGTCACTGAATTTAGGTACATTTGAAAGAGAACTTGGCGCTTATACTCTGATAAGCCGAGTAAAATTCATTGGCATTTAATTCAATTTGAAAAATCACTTCAAAAGCGGGAGACATTTCAAATGAATCAGACAAGAGTACCTGCGCGACGCATACAATGACTCTTTCAGTCTGTGGTCTAATGACCAGCGGAGGAATAGACCCATAGAACTCCATTCCATATGAAAATTCCATGTTCAGTATCTTGATCACAATCTGAGGCAGGTTATTTGATCCGTTTTCTTTACTGATGTAGGCGCGGATGTTTTTCTTCCATTCGAAATCGTACAGCTCTTTTAGTCCCTTCCGGGAGGCCAGGTTGTCCAGTAGTTCTCGATGGTACACCGACAGCTGAACATGAGAATTTTTATACCTTCGTTAGTTTTTTTCTTGATGCAATAAAGCAATCTTTTAGTTCAATGAACTTTTAAAATCCCTACAAATTATTTAGATGTGCTAACTTGTGCTAACAATAGTAGATTATTTTTTCAAATACAGGGTTGCTCGTCAAAAATTCAAACAAAACTCAACGAAATCATAATAAAAGTCAACGAAATGATAAGCTCAACAAAAACAAATTCAACGCACCATAATGAGGGCTTCGAATCTCGTTCTCTGTCGCTTCGTAATGAAATCTGCTTCGGGAATCTGTTGCGGTTGTTGGTCTCCTCCCCTTCCCTGCATTCCATCGCCCTTGTTCCATACTCCACGTAGGCAGAGAGAGATGAGTCGCTGGATGGCCGACTGGAAGAGACAAACATTTCACTAATATTTGAGGTTCCTGTGAATCATAGAGGACCCACCAATAGGCCTTACCAGGCCTGTCAAAAGATGGTCAAATTGCATGATTTCCCCACGTTCCAGACTGAGTTACTGTATAAAGCAAAATTCTTTTTTACTCTAGTCAAGGCCGTTTTAGAGTGTCTAGAACTTTCACGTGGTATCATTATAGCGATCAGAATCAGACAGTCTGTGATTGAACTGAAGCTAGAGATCACATAAGAGCTTGTACTCACTTACTATCAACGCCATGGCAAGGGATCGAACGCTCAATCTGATGTTCTGTTAAAAACCCTTATCATTATGCTAACGTCATTAAAAAATTATAATTAATAAAGTTGCAAACTGAAAGCTACGATTATGGTATTTACGAAGAGGAAACGTTCCTTGATTTTTTACAAAAAAAAATTACAATTTGCCATTCTTCATGCAAAAATTTAGAGAAAGCATTAGAGAGCTTTTCTTGCAAAATAAATAAAAGCGCAAATTACCTACGAGTTTGTGATAAACTTTCTAAATAGACGGAAAAAAGACAAATAATATGGATCATCATGTGGGTTAAAAAAACTTGTGCTAACAATAGTCCGAATTACATTGGTTAATATCGTGAGCTGAGGTACCAGCACCAAACACCCATTGCTTCGGAAGTCAAAGAATAAAATTAATCATATTCAGTATTAAACTTAGCTGACGAAGAGGAAAAAACATCCTCAACAGAAGCTCTTCAAAACTCATGGAAGCAAAGACCGTTATCCGAAATGGCAACAATCATAGAAAAAACTCTTTGATTGAAGAAGTTATAGCGTCTGAAATGCAATAGAGGAACAATCAAGTCCTCAAGAAAGCCAAAGTGGGCATAGAACATGAGGGAAAACAGCGCGAACCAAATGCTCGGCAGCGGAGCTAATCGAGCTTTATACCAAAAAAAATTGTCAGAGTCATTGGTATTCCCTAAAACCAAATTTTGATAGAAACAGGCGACGATAATTAAACTAATTGAGGAAAAACATATATCAAGTCATCTACGATGAAAAGCGACTAAATATTTCAAAATTTGACTTGCTAGTTATTAAGTTCCTTAACTTCAAAATAACAGATGCTCGAATGAAATCTGCATGGACGCGTTAGACCCATGAACTTCTTATAAACAAGCAGTACGCGATGCTGTGTATAAGGGGTACATATGAGAGATAACCAAAAAAACAATGCCATCAAACATGCTCAATTTTAGAAGCTTAGCAAGTATCATATAAATTTATTATAATAATCCCTAAGAACTAGAAGCACATATAGGTAATCTTGAATCAATAATTAACAAAAAGCTATCAAACAAAACATGGCTAGAGAAGGCGAAAAATTAAACTGCTACAAAATTGAAGCGATCGAACCGATTCTATCAAAATGAAGAAATGCAAAAAAAGAGGGCCACATGGATTGAAAGTAACAAAAATTCTGAAGTCGTTGAAGAAAAATTGGGCTGGCAGAACTTGTAGGAAGTATCCATAATAGAGTAAAGATTAAAACCTGTTCTTTGGTGTTGACAAGCTAGTCTCAACACTGAAACTGTCTAATGTAAAGAAATTGATTCTCTCGTTGAGCAACTAACCAAACAGATACCATCATGTCAGAAACCATAAAAAGTTGCGGATGTAGGTCACAGAACAGTTTATACTTAAAAATGTAGATCGAAAAAAGCTGCATCTTGTAAAGATACATTGAATTATTCTATCCTATTTAAAAATGGGGTTAACTGGACGGACTATGCGCAATGTCGGCAAAAAGCTATCTTTCAACCAATGTTTGGTGTGGCTGTGTGAACATTGTGAAATTATCTTGAAAAAAATTTAGAATAGAGTTCTTCAAAGATCACTACTTACTCCATTAATGTATTTGATTTACAATTTTGATTTACCATCTGGCTTATCTCGTGGGTTTCGAGAATAATATTAAGCTCTGGAAACAATTTTTCATTGGTTAAAGCCAAACAAAACAAGTTGCGTTTAAAATTTGAAAACAAAACAAGGTAAAAAAACAAAAAAGCACGCCTATTTTGGTTGATAATTAAAAGTATTAGCAATTTTTCTGGGAATTGTATCACATTTATAACTAAATTTGCGTAAGCACAAGGAAACTATATGCAAAAAAGATCAACCGGTAGCCAAACTGCAAAGAAATGATCAGTTATTTAGTTTATTTGATTTCAAAATAAACAAGACTGCTCGTATCCGGGCGAAGCGATGAATGTTCCGACTGCCCATTAAGGTTTATGGAGCAGTAATATCAGTAAAAAATTATAAGTAATAAAACAAAATGAAACTTTTTTTTCAAAAATTTGAAAATTTTTTTTTATAAAAATCATCACCCCACACGCCATATAAAGTACTAAAGGATAGATTTCGCTACTCGTAATAAATCAATTATGGCAAATAAGTTTCGTTAAACCAATTTGGAACGATTTCTAAGACGGACTAAGTCTCCGCTTACGCGTTAATAGTGCGAAATATATCGCGCGTTAATTGTCCCAAATGGCAATCTTTAAACCCCCAAAACTTAACGAAAAACAATCACAGGTGAAATATCTTTTCAAATTTGAGCTCAAGACAACAATACCTTTCGAATGATATTAAAAAAATTCCGTCAAAAATGGCTAGTTAAAAAGTCGAAATTTGTCTGAAGAAAAAAAAACCCACCCCGAGCACAAATATTCCGTTACTTTCGTATCGAAAGTCGGAACAATAAAACTGCTCGTATCAGGGCGAAGTCCTGAATGTTCCGACTGCCTTTTAAGGTTTATGGAGCAGTAGTAACATAAAACAATTGAATGTAATGAAATAAAATGAAAAATAATTCTAAAATTTGAAATTTTTTTAAATGAAATCATCACCCCACACGCCATATAAAGTACAAAAGAATGAGTTTCGCTCTTTGAAACATATCATTTATGGCAAATAAGCTTCTTTCAACCAATTTGGAACGATTTCTAAGACGGATTAACTCTCCGCTTACGCGTTAATAGCGCGAAAAAAATCGCGCGTTAATTGTCCCAAATTGGCAATCTTTAAACCCCCATAACTTTACGAAAAATGATCACAAGTAAAATATCTTTTCACATTTAAGCTCAAGACAGCAATACCTTTTGAGTGACGAAAAAAATCCGTCAAAAATGGCTAGTTAAAAAGTCGAATTGTCTGAAGAAAAAAAAATCCACCCCGTATCGAAAATCGGAACAATAAGAGAAACGAATATAATATTTGTAAGAGAAGCGGACTATGCTTAGACAGGCTAGATAGCTTTTCATAGATCCCCTGCGAATCGCAGAATCCATAATTATTCTTATTATCAATCTACATTGCTGATTTAAATTAACCGGACAAAACGAGTAAATTTTGAAATTTCAAACGCGTTTTTCTCAAATTGGGTTTTGATTAGACAAAAAAAATGAAGAGAACAAAAATTGCTTAGAATTTCACCAAAATTATTATGGTTCATTTTTTTTTAATTAATCAAAATTACGCTGAAACTAATTTTCTAATTGATGAGAAACATATATCACAAGAAGCCTCCTACACAGCCCAACAAAGTTGCAAAATGTTGAATCTCCAAAAACTTAAATAATAAAAAATATTTTTGCATGATAGTCAAGAAACGTGAATTTTACAAAATAAAATCTAAAATTTTTGCTTAAAAACAAGTTTTAAACAATTTACTCAAATTTTTGGAGTCTCAACCTTTCTGGATAGTTGTTGGCCTATGTGAGAGGCTTCTTGTGATAAAGTAATAAAGTTTTAAAAAAATAAATTTAATAAAGTAAAATAAAATTTATTTTTTCTAAAATTTGCGTTTTTTTTTGAAAATCATCCCCCCACACGCCATATAAGGTACAAACGGATAGTTTTCGCTCCTTGTAACAAATTAATTATGGCAAATCAGCTTCTTTCAACCAATTTGGAACGATTTCTAAGACGGATTAAATCTCTTAATAGCGCGAAATATATCGCGCGTTAATTGTCCCAAATTGGCCAAAATGACAATCTTTAAACCCCTCATAACTTTACGATAAATGATCACAGGTGATATATCTTTTCAAATTTGAGCTCAAGACAACAATACCTTTCGACTGACGCAAAAAAATTCTGTCAAAAGTAGCTTGTTAAAAAGTCGAAATTTGTCTGAAGAAAAAAACCCACCCCGAGCACAAATATTCCGTTACTTTCGTATCGAAATTCGGAACAATAAGTAAAATATCAGAACATCAAAAAAGTCTTTTAAACACCTTCTGTTTGTCCTAAGACGCAGAAATTCTCAGTTAAATACCAAGTTCCCAAAGTTTTTTATCGGCAAAAAAAAAGTTTTTTATCGGCGAAAATATAAATGAGCTAAATTTTTCCGAGCGGTGCATGGCGTAAAGGATCTCTTCATTTCAAAAAAAACAGCACGATTTCGAAAATAGTTTATGATTGATTCGGGTCTGAGCTAACCTTAAAACTCAAAAAAAATTACAATTCGTTCGATTTCTCAGTTTCACAACGGAATTGTTCACTGATTACTGCTGTTTGGAATTGTTCATTGATTACTGCTGCGTGAGTTCAGTTGGGTGCCCGACTTCACAACCATACAATGGGAGAACAAATTCAAGATGTTTTAACTAACCATGAATGAGAGCCTATGACAAGTGATTTTCAGAACCAAAAAATTTCTGGAAGTTCTGCGTAAGTATTGTTTTCCTTTATCACTATCAAAAATCAGAATGTGTCAACACCAGCCATGGTTACGTAATCCTATCCTAATCTACAGAGTTTAAATAATCTGAATCTATTTTAGGGACTTTTTTGAATGTTTTTCCCAAGCTAATGACAACTCGATCTTATTCTTTTTCTATATGACACCAGTCAGACGTTGATATAAACAGCTTGCGTGACAGACCTGGAACTTCTGTCTGACTCCCGGGATTCCCTTTCTGTCGTGTCTGGAGTCTGTTATGGCTGCCTCTCCCTCTACTGTGAAGTAGTTCATCAGAGCCACCAGACCCACCTGAGTGGGGAACTTAACAAAAATACTATGAGTTTCTTTGCTGGTACACAAAAAGCACTTCGACGTTTATTGTTCAATGCCATCAGTTCATGCAATTGCGTTATTGACTACTATGTCGACAATTATGCCCGAAAAAGGATCTACGCTACGCAATAGCTACCATATTAAGCTTCAAATTCCAGTTTCTAATTACAATTCCAGTGTTTCGGTTTTTGAAGCGATTGATTCCACTTGTTTTTTTTTCTCTTTTTTTTTTAACCCACGAAACTTCAATAAGTGTGCTCAAATCCAATGAATTTTAAAGTATAGATGTCAATTTCAGCTTTATAAGGACTAATATTTCTGTCTTGTATCTTTAAATCGCAACGACATTGATTGGGCGGCTTAATGCACTCACATGCACTGCAACTTCCTCGAAACTATTCGTCTGTAGTGCAATTTCACTCGCAGCCTCAATTCCCCCATGGATCCCAGCTCCTACTTCATGCTCGAGCTTGCCCAGCCATACATCAGTGCCCTCGGCCAATTCAACCGAGTGGGGGAGGGCTACTATTTCACCATCGTAACTGAATGCGGCCACTGCTGCCATGACTTCCTGGGACTCGGGAGCTCCTCCGATGGTGCCTCCATGGACAGAGGACAGGTCGACTCCTGAGACTGAGAAGGTACTGACAGGAGTGCTGGTCCCGTCCTAGAACAATACGACAAAACTACATTGAAAAAATAGTTCTGTTCAAGCAAATGACTCTTATACAAAAACTTCGACTCGTTAATTAGATACTATCACCATTTTATTATAAAAAACTTTAAATTAAATCGATCAAATTAACCAAATTACGTTTTTTTGTACATTAATCATAGGATTTCCCAAGTTTTTGACTAATCAGATTTTATTTGAGGTGGAGTTAAATAATTATTACAAAGAAATCATAATAATAATAATAATACGGCTGGTCAGAAATAATCGAAATCTGGATTGTTACATTGTGCATGGATGCCTGTAGTTTGCGGTGGTTCTCCTCGTACTCCGTCTGGATCTGCTCGTCCAGGGGTTTCCCAGTACCTGTCAGCTGAAGATCACTCAGAGAAGTGAACAAGTTCCTCAGGTAGGGTCTCACTGCCTCCAGTGAGTGGGGTTGGCTGATAAGGGCAAAGAGCATGTTGTCAGAAACGTAGCAGAAGCGAGGGAACACTTTACGCTTTCCATCAAGATAACCTAAACAAACATTCGAGACAACATTTAGTAATAGTTAAGGCTTGTAACACTTTGTATCATTTTTTCAACAGACGCAAATTCTTCTCAAAAATCTTTAAAATGTTTTGACCTATTTCACACCATTGACAAAGAATAGGGAACAAAATTCAGAATTTTTAAACTCCCAATACTCTAGCAAACATCAAAAAAAATTGACGAAAAAAAAGTAAAAAGCAAAACAATTGGAAACGCCAAATTACGAACTCATCATGTTAAAACTTCTTCGAGTGTACCTGTGAGGCTTTTGAAGCATATCTCCAGCTCCTCCTTGGTGTGTCTGAGCAGCACTTGTCTGGGCACATCAGAGGCAGAAGTGCAGCACTGGATCACATTCTTCGTCTCACTGGCCTTCTGCATCATCTTCATCCACCCCTTGTCCACCTTGCCGAATCTCTTCACTTCCTGGGGAAGGTCCTATAATTATGCTCTTTTAGATTCAATTTGTAAAACTAAACTGAATCATACATATAATTTTGTATCGCAGCTAAATTGGTCATAGCGTATTTAACGAAAACGATAAATTCATCTCAGAATTGTACAAGGATAGCCGTGAACTGAGCAATTACCACAGAATATTACGACCATGGTCTTTAGAAAACTAGGTTTACAAAGTTTTTTTTCCAAATTAAGGTAGTTTTTTTCTGCTTGGTGTGATAAAAGGATCTGACGTAAAAAGAAAATTTAGACAGATTAGACAGTCATCGCGATATAGGCAAAATGGATTAAAATTTTTGTAGAAAAACTAAAAAAAATTAAAAAAAAAAATTTATTCAATTTTTTTTGCAGAAAATTTTTGAATTTTTTGAAATTATTGGTTCCCAATATGAATCTAAAGAACTCCAAAAATTTGTTTTACTTGCTTAAATTAAGTTTTAAGGTCTTATATTAGGAATAATTCAGTTGTTTTAAGCCCGCTCGCTCGAACTAAGACGGAAAATCAAAAACCGGTTTTTCTCGACACTGGGAAAATTTTTCGGAAAATTTTTAGAGTGATTCGAATCACGACTGAAAGGGCTTCAATATGATATATCACTCAACCCAGTCCGATGATTATTTGTGGTACCTGATTTTGCATGGAAAACAAAAAGCAAAAGAAACTAAAACACAAAAAGACAAAGTTCCTCCCATTTTTCAAATGGTCGGAACAATAACCTGGCTCTAAATTGCATGCTATTCAGTGAAAGTCAGGCAATTCTCTGGCACAGGATCATACTCTATTTCATATTTAAGGTATCAAAAACTTGGTTTTTACAACAAATTTTTTTTACAACTTGATTTTTTTTTTACTAACAAGTCGCATCCGCCTCTTACCTTAGCAGCTTTTGGATTGGAGAACACATTTTCCAGATACATCCACAGATCCTGAACTTCAAGCCACAGCTCCAGAACCTCAGCCACATGTTTCAGCTTCTCAGCCCACATCGCCGCCTCTTCTCTCATTGGTCCAATGTGCTTAGACGTCAGCATTCCAGCCAATAGGGCTTGAGCATCCTCTAGTTGTTCTAGAACTTTCTTGGATGAGTTTTTGTTCAGAAACACTTTGCCTCTGCGTTTGTAGTGCTCTACTATCAACACTTGTTCGCCCCATTCCTCCTCCGTCATTCGTAGCTTCATTTCTAACTCCAATTCTAGTCCAGCATTGTTGCAGATTTCTTCAATGTCATCCTTCTTACTAAACGTAGAAAAAGATCAATAGCAAAATTAGCAATTAGAATTCTTATATTCATATAAAAACCAAAGTTCTTGGGCATAAATACCAATAGTTTCTGTGAAAATTCACTATTGAAATGAAAACCAATTTGGAAAAAAAATTTGATATTCAGATATTTATGACCCATTATTTTCCTACTTTCTCCATTACAGATAAGATGATAGCCTCTGATATTTCTAGTTAATTCTCATATAAAAATTACAAACTGGAATAAATCTTGATTGATTAACCAATTGTATAGCCTAGTCAGTCACCCTGTGATTTAAAAAAATAATAATGATGAAATGTAGATAAAATTAATGATAAAATTTAGTGTAGAAGCACTAGACTCACTCGTGCAGTCCTATGTCGAGGAGTGCTTTGAGTTTGAACACGTTGGCTTCCAGTAGGAATGATTTCCCTGTCACTTGCATTACCTGCAGCCAGTGTCTGTTGCGGATCTCCTGAAGAAAAAGACCCATTTTGCAGTCAAAGAGCGACCAAATTAGTTGGAAATTAGATAGATGGTGCATTATGATATGATAATATAATTAGATGCACCATATCTGAGCACCATTTCCGAAGATTGGCTTTTCCAATTTAACAAATTATTAAAGAAAGGGGATTTCATACAGGAAAACGCGATAACCGAATCAAAATGCTATTTTTTGAGATCGAGAAATAAATAATACCTGGATTTACTGCATGGTTCAAATTTTCAAAAAAAGAACTGAAAAGAAACTCACCCGTTGGTTTAGTTTATTCAGCAAGGGGAACACCTTCACATATTCATCAATGGCCTGTTTCAGATTATGGTACGAATCATAATCTACCAGTCCATCGGGCAGTTGGGAGAACTCGGCGCAGAATGATGTCACCTGCTGTTCACACGTATCAAGAATGACGTCACTCCAAAGAGTCTCTTTGAAGGACCAGTCAAAGTGGAGGAAGTTCTGGTAGAGCTCATACAGGCTGTCCATGAGACGCAGTTCCTGGAACAATTCATTTCCAGAAATCAGTTTAATGGAAAACAATGAAAAAGTTGCATTAATTTACTGTCAACGATTTTGATAACTCCTTGATCAACGCAACGAGCAAATTCGAAATAATGCGAGCAATTTTAAAGCATATACCCAAATTACGTTGGTATCATAATGCTTTGACATCGCAGCATAAGAAATTGAGAACTCTCATATGACAATCTCGCAGTACTAAGAGCAATTATGTAAAATTAATCCGAAAACTGTCAAAAACAAGAATTTGAGTAATAATGACCACTTTTAGGGTTTGAATTGCAGGAACTGAATAAGTGTTCTCACCTGTCCAGTTTTGTCAAGGTCAGGAAAGCTCTTAAACCTTTCAGCGTCGTATGAGAAGATTCTCTGAATGGAATCGAGGGTCCTCCGCTTTTCATCGAATTCCAGAAACACTTGATCGAAATGCTCCAGACGCTTGACTGCCTCCATCGGCTCAATTCCTGGAACTCCAGGTCCCTGCGTTTCGAAGCTGCTTCGAAGCTGATTAACGTCCACAACGAAGTCCTAAGTCCAAACAACGCGTTATTACAGAATTAATTTTAAAGTTGACAGCATTGCAAACGTTTTCATTTCCTGATACAGATTTTACAGTTTCTAATGACTTTAGCAAGGTGGTTCTAATAAACTGAAACTTGAATCTGCTTCGCTGTCAGCAAAACAACTGGAGTATCCAACAAGGGAAAACAGCTCATAAATTTGGAAACACGCAGCTTTCATCAGTCGATTCAATCAAGAATACCAAAAAACAACGACCATACTTTTGAAATATCTTGAAATAGCAAACAACATGTACCATGATCTGTTTGTCTAGTTCCTGTTCAAATATGTTCCGCTCTTCTCTCATCAGCTTGTCCTGCACTTTGTCCGCCTTCAGCACCAGGTGTTGCCAGTTGGACCTCAGAGACTCCACGTTGTGCACTTCGTCTCGCGGAAGGTGCACGCCAAAACTCCTGGGAAGGTAATCAGCAAACAATAATTTTAAGAAACCTTAAAATAAATCTTTCAATTTTTTAATTTCGGTAAATTGAAAATGTTTTATTTCAAAATATTTCCAGAGAGACGTTGCAAAAGTAGAAATTTGTTTGAAAAAAATTTCAGAATGAGGAACAAAAAAATAATTGAACAAAAAAATCGGTCAAAATTTGACATACACGTAAGAGGTCAGATGATTGGTTTACAAAAAAAGGACCAGATTTATGAAATTCCGTTGCGAGACTCCTGGATTTCCCTCTATTGATTGACAAACTTCGTTTGAAAACATTTGCACTTTTAGTAAATTCATTGAACTAACCTCAGCATGGCATATTTGTTTTCAATTGGAAGATAGATCGAATCAATCCTGTTCACCATGTCATAAACCTCCCGGAGTTTCCTAAGGGCCTCATTCAGCTGACCCAGACCAGACACGTCATCTGATATCTGAGCCACTGCCTCTGCTTGGTAAGCGACAGCCTTGTCCAGTTCCATTTTAGCCTCTGAGTGGAGAACGTCTGCGTATTGCGTCTTCCAGGCTGAGGTGAACCCAAGAAGGGTGTTTTTGACAGGAATGGAGTTGAGGCATATTGGACCAACTTGGATTTTCTGAAGACAAAAAAAAGAAAATTTGGAAAAAAATTCATCCTTCTGTTTTTGTTGGAAGTTATCTCGTCACTGAAGATCAAATAGCTACTTGCATGGTTTTTGAATTGAATATTTGACACAGAAAAAGAAGCCAAATGTATAAGAAAGCTCATCTTTTTGTTTATATAACCACGGTTCAATTCAATTCAATTCAATTTTCTGGCAATAAATATAATTGGTGCCAAAAAATAAGGCTCTGGCTATGCATTATGAAAAAGATATATCAAACTCATATCAATGAAACACTCATTTCAACAATACGAGCCACTGCTCAGAGGGCTTATTTGAGGAACAAATTCCATACAGCTGTTGAACAAACCAATGGTATGTCATCGACGGCCTTCTGAAAATCGCACATCCTCTGCACCTCCCCTTGCAGCCTATACGTGTGGGGACCAGACTCCATGAATTCCTTGAAGTTAGCTCTCATGTCATCCTTCCACAAGAAGTCATAGAGAGTGAAGTGCTTCAGATGCCTATCAAGAGAGATCTGGATCTCGCTTATGACGTCATTGATGTCCGACAGGGCATCCTGCACTTCGGGTTCTCGAGTAAGGTCGGCGAAGTAGGTTCCGTCGAAGTCATCCCATCGCTTCACAGCTGCATTGAAAATGAAATTTTAGTTTGTTCCGATATAGAAACTCCACGACTCAAGAGAATATGCTATCCGTTGCAGCAGAGTTGCATTTTTCCATGATGAGATTTCAAAACATACAAGTTTGATAAAATGAGCTCTGATTTAAGAGATGTTAAACGTTCAAAACTATAACTCACTCTTTCCTGTTTCGAGTATGGAAGAGGCCAGTTCCTTGATGCAGTCCTGCACTACGACCAGACTGGGCAAAACTGTGTAAGAAGGAATGGAGAAAGTCAGGTCCACGTCAAATCTAAAATAATTCAATCCCGTTCTGAAACTTATCTATCCGTTTGCAATATTGGTTTGTGAGAATCCAATCGAACCATTTTTCTTCTGAACATACATGTAAGAAAGCTTTCAAAGAAAGACAGCATAAAAGGTTGGTTTTAGTATAAAAAAATAGGCATAGTGGATTTATTTAGACATTTAGTTACCATTGAGACATATAGCTACCAAAAATACCTGGTCTAATTAAGGAGCAGTGATTTTAAAACCTTAGCAGATTGAGATCGATATCTTTGACATTCCAGGTTGAGCTCATCAAGGTGCTCAATGGGGTCATCGAGTCTTCATTTCTTCCACCCATTTGAGATCCCTTAGATGACGAAGGCGCCGGAGAGGGGTTCGGAGGCCAATGGCGACTGGACCCAGCCGATCGTGGAACACTGGCGGGTCGCGAAGGGGTCAAAGGGGGTTGTCTGAGTTCTTGCGAGGTTCCACATCCGTTCGAGAGGACTAGGAGTGACTCGACAACAGCTGCAGAGATCGCTTTGTATACTCGGGGTGAAAAGTGAGCTGAAAAAAGAGCCTTTTTAAATTCAAGAGAGCCGGGGATGTGAGTGCTTGAAAAACTTTTTAAAACCTATTTTGTAGATTGGCCATTTCAAATTTTTGATCTTTCAAAAGATTCTGACCATATTTTGCAGGCTTTTGAACTTTTTCGGTACTGCAGGCTTGGTTTTGAGGAGAAATTTCTTAGTGTCCCTCACAATCAGTGGAAAGAAAGAAAGAAAGAATAAATTTCTCCGGTCACTCATTACATAAATTTAGCAATTCATCGTTATAAGTAATTATTAAAATGAGACTCGGAGAGGATAGACAACGGGGCCATGTTGCCCACAAACTCCTACCCTAGCTATGCATGCTTCTTTCACTATCACTATCAGGAAAAGATTTTTTAAAAATGTTTTAAGAAATTGTTGAAAATTCGTAAATTCATCCATATCTCCTAAGCTACGAAGCTACTAGCATTTAGACGGTCAAGTATTGTCATTCTAATTAGAATCCTACATTATAACTTCGTAAGCAGGCAACCGCCGGTAAAATAGAAAAAAAAAAAATTTAAAATTCGATTTTTTTTCTAAGTTTTAGATTTTTCTTAAAATCGTAAAATCATCCATATCTCCTAAGCTAGGAGTTTCTGGAAAGTCAAATTTTAGCGTTAGAACTTCAACTTTAAAATACACACTATTAGCCTGCAACTACGGGTTCAATAAATTTTTTCTACTTATAATTTGAATATGTAATCGATTAACTCTTCATTTTGCACTAAAAAGACAGTTTTAAATGTATGATAAAAATGTTACTTATTCTGTTTTCGAATATCTTTCAATATCTTCGAGGATCAACTTTTGCGCTCACAGAAGGTTGAAAAGCCTGGTAGCACGATATCGAACGGAAAATCGATCGATTTTTTCCTACATATGGGTTCAGCTAATAGTTTTGTTTTCGACAGTCTCGTGGCCCTTGTTTTCTTTTCAAAGGAGAACATATCGTTTAAAAAACTTTGAGAGAGAGAGAGAGACTTTGTGACAGCACGAATCACGAACTTGAGTATTTCGTAAACATGAATTTCAAACACCGATAAGAATTTATTCTCTAGAAAAATATCACGAGAACTATCGCTACGCTTTCGAAAATAGATGATTTTAAGAACTTTTTTTTGCACTAGAAATAAACGTTCAAACGAACTGTAGCTACAAAAACAGTATACCAGACTTCAATATTGAATGATAGGAACCACATTACTTCTATATTATTCAAGCAATTGGTATCGTGGCGCATAATGTCTTAGTTTCGATATAATCCCGCATTGTTTTCCGAGTCTCATTTTCACCGAATCGATTTGACTTCAAAATGATAATTTATAGTCGATATATAAACCTAGATGTTTACAAACTGGTTTATTAATCACCTCAAAGCAATTAAGGGTGAATTTTGAATTGGAAGCACTTTTTATGTTCATTTGTATTGTCTTATCATCATTTATAATTAGCATATTCCATGTAACCAATGGTCAAGATGACGAAGATTGTCTTTAATATCTATATTATGGCAGCCTATAGCAGTTATATTGGGGTCATCTCCAAATAAGATTATTTCTGCTGTTTTACATGCCACGGGCAAATCATTAATGTATATAAGGAAAAGTAATGGTCCTAAAATCGACCCTTGTGGGACGCCGCATTTTAATTTTTTCCAATCCGAAGAAACACCATGTACTTCAAATCGTCGTTGACGATCGTTGAGGTAGGACCTTAAATATTTTAAGCAATTGCCTCTAATGCCATATGCATCAAATTTTGTCAGAAGTATTTCATGATCAAGTGTATTAAAAGCTTTTCTTAAATCAAGGAAAAAACTATAAGCCTCCTTAAACAAGCTTTTAAGTCTTATTTTTTCAGTTAGCTCAACAACTGCTTCTATTGTACTATGTTTTGATCTGAACCCAAATTGCTTGCTATACAACGAAGCGAATTTTTCCATGTATGTGTAGATTTGATTATACATTGTTCTTTCGTATACCTTTCTCCATACAATAAGTAAAGAGATTGGCAGGTATCGATTTTCATCTAATCGGAATTGTCTTTATGAAAAGAAATTACTTTTTCTTTACGCAAAGCAGAACGAAATTTGCCTTTTTCAAAAGAAAGGTTGACTAGAAACGATAGAAATGGGGCAGTAACGTTTTTAGATGCTTTCACTATTTGATTGCTAATATAGTCATACCCGGATGTTGATTTGTTGTCTAATTGACAAATAATATCGTTGATCTCTGATGGCGTTGTTCTGTATAGAAACATTGATCAATTTAATTTCGATACTGGAGGTGGAGATACATTTGGAATATCTGTTTTCAAGTTTTCACCAATGTTCATGAAAAAATCATTAAATCGATTTGCAACAACTTTTTCAGTTGGATTATCATTTACTTTTTGGCATGATTCAAGAATGGGCACTTCAAAACAAGATATAGATTTGCCATCTCGCTCATTAAGAAATTTATATGTTTGTCTTGAGTCAGCAATACAATTCTTAAATTTATTCGAATACAATTTTCGTTTATTCATTTTGACCGCTTGTTCGAATTTTTTTCTCAGACTAAGTGGCCTTTGTTCCTATTTGTTCTGAGATTTTTTAACGCGTTGTTGAACCATGGTGGATGTGGTTTCTTGCTAGGTTTCATTTTGTTGATTGGCGCATATCGGTTTATCACTTTTTCAAAGATAGATTGAAAGCTGTCAAAGGCTTGCTCGGGATCTTCCACAAGAAGAAACCCATTTTCATTCGCTTTGAATGATAGTTTTAAATCTTTGAGAAAAAACTCAGCTTTGATGTGTATTTTAGAAAATTAGTATCTCTAAAAGTGTATATAGAATTTGAAAAAATTTGTTTTACGGGCCAGATGATTCGAATCGGATAATGATCAGCAATTTCTTAATACTGCATGACTTTCGTTCTAGCATTGGATAAATTCTTATAGATAAAGTGATCGATACATGTAGATGATGTTGCTGATACGCGAGTCGCTTCTATAACAAAAACTTCAAACCCATAAGAAATGATACTATTTATGTAGTTAGCTGAAAGCTGATTCTCCTGTAGCGTATTGAGGTTAAAATCTCCACATGTGAGGACCTTTTCCGATGTTGAATTATTCCCTTCCAAGAAATCTTCAAGCTGATTAACGAACTGCAATTTGTTTGTCCTAGGTGCGTTATAATTAACACCTATTTTCAAGCGAAAAGTGTTTTTCTCGACCTCAGCAAAGATCGATTCTTCAAATGGAGTTTCCAATTGCCTGAGTATTTTCACGTTTTCCTTAACTTGGACCATAACCCCTCCTCCCCTTATATTAGTGCAGTTTTTTAATAAAAAATCATAGTATCCATTAACAAGATATCCTTTAGAATTATCATTATCATTAAGCCAAGTTTCACTTAAGCAAATTATATCTGGTGGTGACTCAAGTGACTTAGTATAAGTGCTTCCGGTTTTAGTGACATGGTGCTCAAATGCAGAACTGAAAAATCATGATTAGCATCAGATAAATTGGATGAAACAGAATTATGGTTAGGTACCAGTTGACTGTTCGAAGCGAAAAGCATCTTCTGCCATTGTGCCTGGTGTTGGCAAAACATTGTATTTAAGAACTGAGGTAATTGGGTTCAAAGCTGCAAGGATATGAGGAACAATTGCATTTACAATTTCACTTGCAATCGATTGAGTTTCTTCCTTCTCCTCAAGGGGAGAAAGATTTATCTTTCGCTTTTTTACGGATCGTCGCATAGGATTATTCGCTTTTGCTTCGTCATTGGAAGTTGACAGTTTTGGTGTTTCTATAACATCATCAGACCAATTTAACTGATATGACTCTTTCGGCTTTCTAGTTTCAGTTAATGTTCCAGTTACTGCATACAACTCAGCTTTGGTTTTTACTTTTACGGTGTTAAGATGTGGCTTGTTAGGGTTATAGGCATACACATCTTGTTTGTGAGTATAATATGGGATACGATTGGCTATCGCTTCTGATCGAATTGCTCTGTCGCGAGGCGATAAGCATTCTTCAATAAATACTGGTTGTCCTTTACTGTTCCGGAACTTTTCAACCATGATCTGCGCCTCCAAACAACGTCCCGATCCGCATGATATATGAATTTCACAATCACAGACGCATTTGTTCCAGGTTTCAAAGGATGACAGGTGGCAATATTATGTCTAGGAATATTAATCGACATGATGTTACTCATTATTTGCAGGATATCGCCCATTGTGTCTGCTGTGATATCAATGTTGGAGAAAGTCAGGCATAACTTACGAGAGCACTTCTCAAGATCTACGACTCTTTCGGATACATCGTAAAATTCGTTCTGATTTTGTATGATTCTATTCTCAAATTCCGATTGATCCGTCTTCAAGTTTTTGATCTCTTTGCTTTGCTTGACTAATATACTGACTAACTGTGTAATTACTTCGAGCAATTTTGGATCTCCCAATAGTCCTTGCATTTTCCCCAATATTTCATTTGTTTCGTCTCGTTCGCAAAGGGCAACTTGGTCAAAAATAAGATCATCATCGCAGTTAGATTGATTATCATTCATTATCTCAAACTATTTAAGTGGTTAGGAGGTAGTGTCATTTGAAGCGTTGATTTGATCGTTTAGAATAGTTTAATCAAGTGATCTCAGAAAATCTTTTAAAGTGTTACGAACCGAATAGGCGTTTCACCCCTATGTCGCTGTCTTCACTGAGTTCAATGTTTCTGTCAGACCCAGTCTCCGAGGCAGTCTCGTCCTCACTGTCCCACTGGTGGCCCATCTCCCTCTTATTTCTGTTCTCTTTCAAATTCAGAGTAGTGTTGCTCTTTTTGTTGTCTGTATCGACCTAAAGAACATCAAAGGATATTCGCGAAAACGTTCAAACTACTTTTTTTTCAATTATCCTGATTACTCAGTCAAAAAAACTCCATTTATCATTCGGATCCATTTTACAGGCATTGACCCTTTACAACAAAAAAAATAGGCAACTTCTAGCAAGTTCATAAATTAACTGTGCATGTTTACACATATAATAGAGGGATATCATGCAGTAGAAACTAAATAGTCATATTTCACTTATTTATTTTTTTTAGTTAACCCACCTAACCCGAAGGTAAATTATATAATGTTAACTAAGCTGTGGCTATTTTATAAGAGCTCACCTTGTAAATTGCAGGGTACGTACGAATTAAACCCGCAATCATATGGTTGCTGGGCACCATCACTACCGATGCGCCACAATGCCACATGATTCTAATCCTTTGGTTATCATCAGGCAATTCTAAATGTTGTCGCCCTTTTTCAGATCGAAATAACAAATTTTCTGTGCTCTCCGAAAACGCTAACAACCCTAATTTTTCAAATACATCTGCGCCACTCTGAGTTTTTTGGGCACTTTTCGCTGCACGCTCCCCACAAATTTTAGCGTACATGGGCGGAAAAGGCGCCTTTAGAAAACTCTCGGTGGGTCAGCCGAAAATGCATGCCGTAATGTAACAAAGGGGACTCTTTGTGTAGTCAGGGATCGAAGCCCTGAGGAGGGCTGAACTTCATAAATATTTACACAATTACTCTTACAACTTCAATTTAACTGGGACAGAATTCTTATTTAACGATGATAAAAGCATTGGTTTGAAAAACGTTTTATTTTAATCAACACAATGTTTCGGAGAGTCAGGACTTACCCTGCTGGTCAACAACACCTGGACAATCTCGAGAATGACACTCTTGATCTCACTGATATGTTCGAACAACTTCTTATACTGCTCCTGGACACTGTGCAACATGGTTCCAGAGAACATCTCGGGACTCCAAGACTGGGCGAAGGCTAGCTTGTGGTCGAACAGAACCATGTCTTCGATGTTCTCAAGTGACTTCTCAATTCTAGTCTCGACAAGCTTGAGAACTTTGCGAGTGAGTTTACGGAACCGATGGATGGCGGAGTGAACCTGGAGAAAAAAAAAAGATTTTTTTTACGGAAGCAGGTCTAGAAATTTTTAATTACTGAATTCTTAAGACCAAGTCAACCAGAAGTGCTATGTTGGGCTAATTCATTAGGACTCATATTTCGTATGAACTATGAGAACAGGCAAGTTTTCGGACAAAGTATTAAATTTTATGTTAACTCTTCATAGATAAACCAAACCATTCAGACCGATTCTTATCTACAGTTAATCAATATAGGAGTAAAATGATACCTTGAAAAGGTAAGCGTCGATATTCATACTGTTCCACGAAATAGTGGTCCACCCTGCTGAGAAAATGGAGATCATCATCTGAATGTGGGGCCTGAACAGACTCGCCATCTCAGGCGGGATAGTAACCTTGACCTGAAAGAAAAATAAAAGCAGTTTAATAAGTTACTAGACACAAATCAAGAACCGTTCAGATGCAGTTTTTGCACTAGCATGATTTTCAGTTTTAAAATTGATCATGAATGTCACAGTTCATGAGAGTGGACAGAGACCGTTTTTCAGCCTACCTCGTAGAAGTCCGAGATGAGACTGTCGAGTCTGGACTTGTATTTCTTGAAGCGCATTTCATTGCTCAGGATTCTTCTAGCGGAGTCCGGCAGGTCCATCTGCATGCGAGCCATGAACTTAGCCTCCTGCAGGATTTCGTACACACTAAATAGCAGGGAAAAAATCTGGCTTTTTCCAAAAAATGCTGTTCTTTGGCTGTGATCGATAGTTCGGTAGGTGCAATTAACAATGAAAGATATCGACACCATGGATGATTCTAGGAGTTTTGTGACAAGGTGGAATTGTGTAAAAATGAATTTGAACGACAAAAGCGTTTTGCAAACAAATTTTGCCCAGCATCTAAATAAGCTATTATAGCGCTTTTCACTTTTTTTCTCTTATCCTCCCTCTCACACATGCCAACTTTTACAAGAATTTTTGTTCCTACCATTGAAAATGGGGAGGAACTTTGTATTCGGGTGTTTTAGTTTTTTTTTTGCTTTTTGTTTTCCAAGCAAAATCAGGTACCACAAATAATGATCAGACTGGGTTAGGTGATATATCATATTTAAGCCCTTTCAGTCGTGATTTGGACGATATTAAAAAATTTCAAAAAAAGTTTACAAAGTATCGAAAAAAACCGGTTTGAAAAATTTTTTTTTGTCTAATTTCGAGCTAATTAGTAAGGTAGTTAGTAATTACAATAGCTTATTGAAGCTTAATTCAGGCCGTGAAAACTTAGTTTTACTCAAGTAAAAGTAGTTTTTGGAGTTTTTTAGCGCAATTTTGGGAATCAAAAACTTGAAAATTCAAAAAATTTCGGCAAAGTTTTTGAACTTTTTTCTAGTCATTTTTCTTCAAAAACTGTTTTCCAATTTACCTATGTTACTACGAATTCAAATATGCCTAATTATATTTTTCGTTAAGACTTTTTTTTATCATAACATGCAGGGAAAAACGACACCAATTTGAGAAAATAATTTTGTATTTTTTAAGACTGTGGTCGGAACATTCTGTGCTACTTGCACAGTAACTTGCAATCCTTGTTTTTTTTTCAAATTGTCCTTTTTTTACAAAAATAAGCGTGGTGCTGTTTAGTAAGGCCATGTCAACCATATTTGGTATTCATACATAACCTTGTAAAACCCTTCTTCACACCATTAAAACTATCCTACGACTAGCGAGTTTCAGAAATTATGAGTGATGAAATTGAACTCTTTTCTTATTTAATTTGGTTTTATACCGACTACGATAGAACAATCATTTTAAATATTGATGCAGAGCTTGGACCGTATGTCATTAACCTGTCTAGACAATGCCATAAATCTGCTGCTTTATGTTTATAAAAACTATAATACTTTTTTCCAATGTTTTCTTTTATGTTTTCAGATATAAATGTTCTTCCTTTCTTTGAAGATCTCAAATTTCGTATTTTATTTGATAAAACGGGCAGTGCTCTGTAACCCAATTGGGTTCGTTAATTGTCCCCTCACTCGCTCATTGTTTCAGGTGCTTCATGTTTAAATTCTCGTTATATGCATATTTACCATTAACAATGTTAACAATGAGAAATAAGTTCTTTCTTTCTTTCTTCTTTCATTTTAACTGATGCTTATGTGAGGTGGGGGAAGGAAAAAGTGCCCGCTTATTCAGGCCTGTAATAGTCAAAATCTCAAGATATTTACAACCATACATACCCAGCGTCGCTGTTGACAACGATTGACGTCTCCCTGGGTTTGTAGGACAACACGTTCAGCTGCAGTCCGGCGTTAGATGCATCGAGAGAAGTCTTCCACTGCGAGTAGTACAGAGTCTCATATGTGATCAACACTTCGGCCAGTTTGTTGTACTGCTTGCAGATACGACTGAACTCTGAAACGAATAGGGTGCGAACAGATCGAAACAATCTTTAATATTTGTGGAAATAAGTTTTAAAATTAAACCAGGAAATCGCTAATTTGAAGTAAAAAAGAGATATATTTCTCAGGTTGTCAAATTTAAAACCACGATTGTAGAGAATTATGATTAAATTTCTTAAAAATTTAGTTTAAAATTATTTAAACTTTTCGACAGTACTTGATAATTTATGTACGGTTTGTTGTATGAGTTCATGGCGTCGACTGACCTTTCATTTTGCAGATGGCCTCGTTGCCCCTGAAAATGATCATGGGTATCTCTATTCTGCCAATCAACTGTCGCACCCATTGGATCGCACCAGCCACTGGCGGCGCATTACGGGTAATCGGAGGAGAGTCCTACAGCATTGCAAAATTACTTTTAAAAAATAGCTATAATCCACAAGTTTTGCAAATTTGGAAATGAAAACTTGGATCAAGGGCAATAAATTCGGGGGAGGGGTAATCAGCGACTCGGTAACAACATGAAACAAAGTGCAGTTGAAATAACAACATTACTGGATGTTTGTTATTGTTTCGACCAATGAAAATGGGGACGAACTTTGTATTCGGGTGTGTTTCAGCAAAATCCGGTACCACTAACAAGGCAGAGGCGAAGCTGAGCTCCGCACCATTTGCGATACAAATAAGAATGACTATGAAAATCAAACAGAAAAAAATATCGTTTTTGTCAATAAAAATTGCAACAAAAGCCCAAAATATCCGGAACAAAATTGCCTCTACCATTAAAAACTCTAAAAAGAGCTTTTGGGATGCTATAAAGAATCCACGTTTTCAAAAAAGTCTTTTCTGCAGAACTAAGCAGACAAAATAAGCCGACAGACAATAACCTAAATTAGCCAAAATTTTCTTTTGCAAGAAAAAACAGGTCTCAACTGGAATCGAACTACCACGCTTTGACGTCTCAAGCATGGGATTACAGCAACTTGGAATAAAAATAAACCATTGAGCTACCGGAACTAATCCGAAAAATATAAACAGACGGACGATAGTCCGAAAAAGCACAAGAGCTCTGGTTTGCAAAAAAATGCCTAGCCGGATTCGAACCGCTAATCTTTGCCATCTCAAGCTGTTATTTAAACTCTTCGCCATTTGCATCGGATGTTTGGTTGGATTTGAATTTATAATTACCAAGCGGTAACAAAGCCAAAAAATCTGCACAGAAACCCTTCATGTCGAAAAGAAATTCAAAAAAAATCTAAGCTTAAAATAAATTTCCCCTCAGAGCACACACACACGCACACAAAAACTTTTTTCGAACGCAACGACGCAATAACAGGCCACTAAGTCGATATTCATTAGGCCGACATTTATGAAAAAAAATGAAAAAAATAAAAAATTTTAACAAATCGAGCTGGTAAAATTACAACAAATGTGAAAAGCAAAATTCGTTTCCGCCAGATTTTTAAAAAACAAAACATAAGCAAACAAATAACGGGCCGAATTTTTTGTGAACCGGAACATTTACTATTTGAAAAAAACTGGTTCTGGTCAGATTCGAACCCGGCCCCTTTGCCTTCCTAGGCGTATTCGTTAACACCAGGCTAAGTGCGCAAGAGACACTACAAAATTTGAATTCTTTATGAGCCAAGAAAGGTACCACTAGGAGTTCAATGTGTCTGCGGACAAAGTTGTTTACGGGGGGGGGGGGAGAGGGCGAAGTCTAGCTATCGCAAGGGGGTAATCATCAAAATGGGTAAAGTGATATATCAAAGCCCTTTCAGTTGTGATTCAAATGACAATAAAAAAAATTTAAAAAAATTCCAGCGTCGAGAAAAACCGGCTTGAAATTTTAAAGCGATCGAGTAATGTTTTTTTAAAAAATATATATAAGTTTTATTTAGGTTTTTAGGCTAAGAAGCTTAATTTTACAAGAAGGAAAACTAGTTTTGCAAGTTTCATTTAGCGTTTCAAATCGGAACTATCGATCATGATATCTGATTCAGATTATCTCACCTTTCCCCGTTCGTAGGCCACCTGTATTTCCTTCATGTCTTTCTCGTAGAAGCCGAACACAATCTCGTACGCCTCAGTCAGTGCAATCTCCACGCCTGGACGTCTTCGGATCGGCTCAAATCTAAAGAGAGAAATTTAAAGAGAAAAATGGAAAAATAATGGTGGTGACGTAATTGCAGGGGCGGATTTAGAGGGGGGGGGGGGGGGTACTTTTTAAGAAATCCATTTTTGGCCGACCGACCCTAAAATTTTTCTAAAGGCGCCTTTGAGGGTGAGCGCGCGCCAAAAAAAACTAGATTTTTTAGTCAAAATTTTCCAAAATGTTTCCAAAAACGCCTTTTTTTGACCTGTGTTTCAAAAATTTGCCTGCGGCGCACAATATTTGGCCAAAACAGCGTCTTTTTTTAGGGTTTTGGAAGAGCTCGGATAATCAATTTGGTCAACCTAAAAAAAGGGTCGTCAAAATTTTTGATTTTTTTTTTTTTGAAAATCCGCCCCTCCCCTCGAGAAAATCCTAGATCCGCCCCTGCGTAATTGATAACAGCAAAATACATATATGAATCATCAACAGTGACTGAAAGAGCTAAAAGCGGCGCAGTTTCAAGAATGATTTTTTTAAATAGGAGCTCAGCCTGCCCCCTCAAAAAATGTCAAAAACGGTCTTAAAAACCAAAGTCAGGAAGGAATATGGTTTTTTAGGATTTTTCAGCTTATTTGGCCAAATAGAAATAGTAGTTTTTGAAAAAAAAATTGATTCCTTTTCCTTGGGATTCTTACTTTTCGAGAAGTTTCAGAGCCTCTTGTGTGGTCATGGTACGAAGGAACAAAGCCACAATGTATGCAGATACTATCTTCTCCATTTCGATTATTTTCCCAAGGAACTCAGAATGCAGCTTCTCGAACTTGTCTCTGTCTTTTCCTTTGAAGTCCAGCACCTGAAATCATAAGTTGGATGCGGTAATATCATTTCTGGACAAAATCAGCTGAACCGGTCGAAGCAATCAGATATTATAATTGTTGTGGTGGCCTCGTATCCCTTGTTAATTTCTTTTATTAGTTTCAAGACCTACATCAGACATGATTCGATCGCTTTTCTTGTAATAAGAAAACTATCTATATGGTTGTTAATATCACTTTCTGAAACAAATAGTTTTAAACCTCCTCGAATCGAATTACTGTCGGATCGAATCACAAATCGAATCATTTTGAATCGAATCACAAATCGAATCAATGTTTCAAATAGTGGCTTTATATAAAAATTCTAGCTACGAAGAAATCTAGGAGGCTTGGATAGGTTTGAATTAAAGAAATATTTCACACACCTGTTTCACTCGCTCAACACTCGAATAAATGTTCTTCAACTCTTCATATCTTCTGCTCATTAGCTCATCGAAAGAGGGACCCGGTGGCCCAATGGATCCATCACTGCTCATATTCACACCCCAACTGCTGTAAATCTTCCTCAAAGTCCTCCGTGCCTCAATCGCATTTTTCCGAGGCGAATCATCGATGTCAAAAGCCACGTCGGCTCCGAACGGTGCGGCTGATATCTCCAGCTCCGACTGTCGTTGCGTGAACACTCGTTGGCTTGCTTCACTTGCAGCGCGTGATGATTCTTCACTCGGCTCTTCGACGACAAATCCTGGAGCTTCACTTGTCATCGGATTTACTGGCGAGTCGCTCCCGGTGGGAGATTGACTGCGACGCTCGTTCTCGTTGTCGGAGTCGTACGACATAACGTCCATTTGAGACTGAAGCTCGGCAGTGTGAGCAGCACTTGCTAAAATTGAGACATAGCAGATTTTTTGTTGCAAACAAATTGCTAGTAGTAAGCGGTTTGACGTTGAGTCGTTTGAAGCTCTATTGGATCATGGACAAAATCGAAACATTGATTTCATGAAAATATTCATAGTTTTTTCTGTAAAATGCAACATTTATTTTAAAAAAGTTTTTTCCATTTTCCATTTTCAATTTTCTTTCACATGCTTTATGGCTGAATCCATATTGTTCTCTGTTAGGTATGAAGCAATAAGTTGAGTGTAATTCATTTGTTCATCATGAAGAGTTTCATTTAATTATATCCAAATTTAATTAGCTTTTCAAAATTGAAATTAAAAACGGCAGAAGCCCGAAAAAACTTCCAATCATTAGCAACCGCGATATTTGACAAAACAAGGCAAAAAAAAAACATATTTAGTGAAAAAATGACGTTTAAAAACATGATTTAGCACAGACCATTTAAATTATGGTTAGCACAGACCAAGAACTGCCCATGTAAAGAAAACAATTTAAACGCAGGCGACACGGAGCTTCCCAACATTCGTAATACCCCTAAACACAGAGGCGAAGAGGAGCTTACAACACTTCTGATAAAACATGAAAGTAATTTTCAGCTAGCGGATAGAAAGTCAGGCGGACGTCGTAAAAATGTTTTGACAATGGCAATATCAAAACATACATCTTCAAAAATTTCATGCGTTTGTCTCATATGATGTTCATTTTAATGAAAACATGTGAATTAACGCAATAATCAACTTTGACTAAGAATTCAAAAACCAGAGGGCGCAACTGAGCCAAAAAAAATGGGTAGACGCCCGTTGAGCCGAAAACAAAATTTAACAGAAAAAAATTGAGCTACTAAGTTTTGAATCTCAAAGTTTTTACACCTCACTCCTTCCGAAACATGATAGAAAAAGAAACATTCTATTTTCGCACTTCAAGCGACGAAATATAATGCTAGTAAGCCGGTAAAACGTAAGTCAAAACCATTTCCTTGAAAACAAAAAGGAAATTATACAAAATCAGAATTAGTAAAATTATAAATAAAAAAAAACAACTTTCAATTACAGTTAGAAATTCAAAAATCAGAAAAAAATTCCATTTCATGGGAAGTAATACGTTAAAGAACAAACAAACAGATGATAATCCGATGAGTCATTTTCTACAGAAAAAAAAAGAAAACTTCCAAGCATATCAAAAAAAGGTTTGGCGGGGACTCAAACGAAGACGCGCTTTACAATAGATGTGTAAAAAAAAGCTGTTTAGTCACAAAAAGTCAGGATTACATTGGAAAAAAAATAATTTGCAGCACGAAAATTCCCAGAAAAGTTTTCAAATTTGTTAGTGGAAAATTTGAACTTTTTAAATTGTGGTAAAAAAAATTCATTCAGTTTCTAGACAACTTTAATTGAAATAAAAATTTTCATTTTTAAAATAGACATCAGTGCTCAGTATGACTCACTCTTTTCCTTCCACTCTTGTTTGGCTTTTCTGCCCTTTTCGATCTCGGCCCTGAGTCGGATCTCGTTCTCGTCACTCGTGTCCATCACATCCTCCAGACGGGGACGGGGCACACCTGGTGCATTCTGCAGAAGATGCTCGTACTCTGCCATCGTTCTGAACACAATCAACGCTTATTATGGGGGCTTTTCTCATGCGCGAAGGACAAAATGCGTAAGAACTATCAAGTAATCAATGCCCATTTAACTGTCCAAAACCTACTGAATGTAATGCTCATTTCTTTCGAGTTTTTTAATAATGAGCTCTGACAAAAGTTTCGCGAATTCGATCTTCGCACTAAAAGGATTCCTCCACCTATTTAAAAAAGCTCAAATGTTGTTTTCGACAAACGCATAGTTTGAAGCAAGACTAAATCGCAAAAGAAAAAATGAAATTGAGATGACAGAAAAGACATTAATAGCACTTTAAGTCCATGAACATACAGAATAACTACGACTCAATGAACTCGAAAACACTAACCTTTTGGAATACTTTTTGATATTCAAAAAAATAGCCGGTTACTCTGCAAATAGCACAGAATGTTCCGACCATATTTATAAAAAAAACTACAAAAAGTTTTTTCATTGTTTTCAAATTAGTGTCTCTTTGTGTGCGTGGTGTGCGTTTTTAACTAACTTTAGTGTAGTAGAATTAAATTTTCTGTAATTGAACAAAAGTTTGACGGCCAGCTTTCCCCACTAAGATAAGCCTGCTCGCTCGACCTTTTCGCTCGAAATAAAACTAAAAGTCAAATATTTCAAACTGGTTTTTCTCAGCACTGATAAAACTATTTAGAACTTTTTCAAGGTCGTTCGAATCACGACTGGAAGGGCTTTAATATGATATAAGACTCAACCCATTCCAATATTTTTTTGTTTCCTGATTTTTCGTGGAAAAAAAACTAAAACAAGCCGAATACAAAGTTCCTCCCCATTTTCAATGGTCGGTACAAAAACTGCCATCACAGGTTTTAACCCAATAAAGTTAGACTGAAAATATTCAGTTTTAACCCAATAAAATTAGACTGGTACGTACTTCATTACGTCAATAACTTTGAATGTTCGGTCCAAGAACAGCTCAATGTGATACATCAGCTGCGCATCATCATTAATCGCAATTCCCGAATGGTCCGAAACTTCTTTCGCGTTCGGTTCGCCGACACCTCGAACAGCCGAACACTGCCCCATTACAGCATTGGAAGTGGACGCCATGGACAAACTGGATTCTTCAGTGTGAATGACCACAGTTTGCACGACATTTAGACTTACTCTTAATTTTCGAACTTGCTCCCTGAATTTCTCGCACAAAGCGTTGCAGAAAAGAAGTCGCGAATAGATTGAGGGAGGGTCGGATGATGCTTCGTTTTTCATGGTTAGGCCGTCCCGAACTTCTTTCAGAGACTGTTTTACATAGAAGTCGTTTCCGTCTGAGGTGCAAACTTGACTGATGAAGCTGATCATTTTGGAAACCAGCAAATTCGAGAGCTAAAAGTGTATGTGAAAAAATTACAGAATAAAATTTTTTTCTTAATTGGTTAACTTGCCAATTCTCGTTAAGTATCAAAAAAAAATATGTAAAAAGAATATTCGACGAATGGTTTTTCTTATCGTCTACGCGGTTAGTTTATTTTACAGCTGCAAGACTTAAGGGAGGAATCCAAAAAACGACTACTTGGTAATACCAGAGCAAAAATGTCAACAATTTGGTTATTTAATATTGCAGTTCAAAAAGTATCCCAAAAATTGTTCCCATATTCAACTCTAAATACCTGGAATATGACCAGTCCTAGGAATCCAGTCTTGGCGTGGTATTTCGAGAGACTCTCTAGGTTCTTGATGTGCTGAAACAGCTGGGGCACCAAAGTTTCCACCATTTCCAGGGGCGAGGTGGTCCCAATACTCATCTGGGTGAAGAACCTATTCAGCGCTTCCAGGTACTTGCCCTTGTCTTTTGCGTCATTGAAACACTCCGTGATTCTGAAATAATGCCGGTCATTAACTTACACAAAAAAACTTAACAGAATGTCTGCCGATAATTTAAATAGAAAAAATGCCTTTACCACCCTACCTTAACTACCCTACATTAACCAGTATACTACAGCATTGGAAGGGGCACGCTCCCCTCTCCATCAAAGTTTCGAATCACTTACTATCCAAAGCTTCCTCCCTATGGTACTATGCTGGCGCTAAGATCTAATAATTTTAAGGTGGGAGCGCGCGCCGCAAAAACCGACAAAACGTCGATAAAAATTTTCATTTTTGTTTTTGAAAATCCCCCTCGGAAAAAATCCTAGATCTGCGCAGGAATAAACTGCAGGCGAATTGCGTTTGAGCATTTTTATGGCCAATTTTTATTAGTTATTACAACTTGAGCCCCACCGCTAATCTAAAATCATAAGCACAATAAAACCATAAGAAAAAATCAATTTACTGGTTGTCCAATTGGCGCCATCTCTTCATAGTCTTGGACTTTGCACTGTTAAGCACAGTCAGCACCGTCTTGCATTCTTTCTGTTTCAATTGGTCAATTGTCTGAGTTAGCAGACGCTGTCTCCTTTTCCACTTGTCCATCTCAGTGCCTGGATCCACATTCATGTCCTTGCTTCGGTCTTCTGCCCCTTCGGATAAGACTACCTCCAGAGTTGTGCACCATTCATGTACAAGAGATTCCAACTCGGCTACTAAATCTGGATCGTTGTGGGCATCTCGGAGCTTTTTGAAGTCGAGGTTTATGAGGTCTTTCACTTGATCGGTCATCTTGAGCATCTTCAAAAATAACAATTGTTGAAGGAATGAATCTACCAAAGTTTTTGACTAGAAATTAATAAAGTTAGATGCTTTGATTTTTGAAATGAAACATGAAAAAATCAGCCAATTGCTGAAAAATTGGACTAGATAGTTCAGACCACAAATTTCTTGAACTGGGTGAGTTTTTTAAAGTTCAAAAAGAACTCATTCGAATTATGATTTTTTTGCATTTTTTTTGTTAGCCACTTCAATAATAGTTAGTTTTAGATACCTTACCTACTAAACTTTATATAACTTTTAAACTTCTAGGAAAAATTAAAAAAGCAAAAAACTCCCCTTATTATCCTAGTAGAGAAAAGTATATATAACCTGTGATGATGCAGCATTGTTGCTAGAAGCAGCCATATCAATGGTCTCGAACATCTGCTGAGTGTACTTCTCTAGATTAGAGATGGTCTGGGCTGCTATCTCGGGGGGACATCTGCCCCAGTCCCTCTGCTGGCGCAGTTGGGGCAGAAAAACGTAGCGCATACTCTCTGCGAAGCACAGCGCCGGATCTCCCACAACCACTCCTAAGACATTACAAGAAATATGAAATTTGAATGCCTCGGCAGACCAAGTATAATTTCTTTTTTTTAATCTTTCTTAGGTTTCTTTTTTTTAAATCAGATATCAGTTTTTTTATCAGTTCCTTTTTTTTAATCAGTTTCTAAAATTGATGAAAACAGATGAGCGCATCGCTTCCGCTTGGTCCAGAGAGGGCAATATATTCTTCCAGTACAGAAATGACAACTATACAAATAAAATTACTGGTCTCTATGAGGGTGGTCACACACTTGGTTACTATTATAATGATGTTATAAATTGCTTCACTGGTGTTTTCAACCAACCGGAGGCCCCCTCCGGAACCTAAATTTTCTGTGCTACATATAAATGTTCGCTCTTTGAAAGGTCATCTTAACGAATTGGAAGCACTAGTATATAGTCTTGAGTCTCCTCCCCCCATTCTATGCCTATCAGAAACGTGGCTAACAGAAAATGATGATAATAAATGCTATCTCATTGATGGTTACAATAAGTTTGCAACATGCAACCGTAAAACTCGCGGAGGCGGAGTAATGATACAAATACGCAAAGATTTCAAGCTTATAAAACAAATCACCACAACCCTCGAGGAATGCATTCTAGTGGTTATTGAAAAAGATAACTACCAATTCAAAGTAGCAGTAATCTACAACCCACCTAGAATTAACAAACTACGGTTCATAGATACATTCGAGAATTTTTTAGAAGAAAACTATTCGCCATCAACTCCTTTTATAATCTGTGGCGACAATAACATTGACATATCAAAGATTAATCAACTATCGAACAATTACATGAACTGTATTTTTGCAAATGGATTCGAACTAGGTGATACAAAAGCAACAAGAGTTACTCAAACATCAAACACTTGTCTAGATCATTTCATTTATCAAAACCTGAATGAAGCCTATCAACACACTTTAGAATACCAAAATTTCTCTGATCATTTTCCTGTCCTCTTTCAATGGACTCCACCTAGTTTAAAAAATGAAAAAACTCAGACTTTTCGTGACCTTAATTTTGTCAAAGATAAAGATAAATCCAATAAGTACATAAACTCATTGCAAATTGAACTGAATGAAAAAGAGTTAGAAATCTGCAATGTTGCAGATCCATCAGCAGCATTTAACATTTTTTCTGCGGTTTTTAATAAAGTTACCACAAATTTTGCACCCATGCGGGAAAACACAATTACTGATTTAAAAAAACCGAAATGGTTCAACAACAAGTTGAAAAATTTAAGAACCAAAAGAAACAGAGCACATCGTTCATGGAAATGTCAACCAAATAATTCCATTTTATTGGAAAATTTTAAGAACTTAAGATTTAAGCTAGAAAAAGAAATTAAAGGGGCAAAACGGAAGTTTTACCGTAACAAATTCTCTGCATGTATTGGGGACTGAAGACAAACATATAAATTACTCAATGATTTAAGTGGTAAAAATATATATGATGCAAACGTACCAATACTAGAGTCATGTCAGCAGCACTCTGTAACTCCATCAACTTTTGATGTTGCTGAACGATTTAATGTTTTTTTCTCCGAAATTGGCACTCAACTTAAAAAAGACATGGACTGTCTACCATTACCACCTCTTAAACAAGTGGGACACTCAATGTTTCTTTATCAGGTTACTGAACTTGAAGTAGAACAAATAATTAACAAACTTGATAATAAATCGTCGTCGGGTGATGACAATATTAATAACATTTTAGTTAAATTGTCGGTATCTGCTACCGTTCCGTATTTAACCCTGTTAATAAATAAATCCTTCAGCCAAGGCGTTTTTCCTGATAAATTAAAAAGAGCAAAAGTCATACCCATGCATAAAAGTGGTTCCAGAGTTGATGAGAATAATTACCGACCAATATCGCTTTTAATTGTCTGGAGTAAAATATTTGAAAGAGCCATGTACACTCGTATTTACAATTATCTTGAAAAATTCTCACTTATTTATAGTAGACAATTTGGGTTTCGGTCAAAGCATAGTACAATAGACGCACTCGTTGATTTTACTGAAAAAATGCGGTCATGTGGTAATCAAAATGTTGTTACTTTCTTTTTTGATTTGAAAAAAGCATTTGATACAATTGAACATTCTCTTTTATTACAGAAGTTAGAGTCCTATGGAATCAGAGGAATTACTTATGATTGGTTTGAATCGTATTTAAAGAACAGAAAACAGCGTGTAGAAATAAATGGCGTTTCTTCAAACTGGTCTTCTATAAAATGCGGTGTTCCTCAAGGATCAATTTTGGGTCCCTTACTCTTTCTTATATATATAAATGACCTTCCTCATGTTTGCAAATCATCTGAAGTTGTCCTCTTTGCAGACGACACCAATGTCACTGCTTTAGGACAAGTAAATGTTGCAATTGAAAATGACATCTCTTACTTGAACTACTGGCTAAATGCCAATAAATTAATTATTAATATGGATAAAACAGTACAAATGAATATTAAGACTTCCAATTCAATGACCTTTCAATTAAACAGCTGTGCTATTAAAACTGAACCTGTTTGTAAATACCTAGGGATATATGTAGACTCAAAATTATCCTTCTTTTCGCAAATTGATTATGTAAGAATGCGATTAGCGAAACAGTCAGGCATTATTTCAAAATTACGGTATTTTGCTCCACGTCATCAGCTTTTAGATTACTATCGAACTAACATTAAATCAACTATCCAATACGGTATTCTTGTTTACGGTTGTTGCAGCTACTCTTCTTTAATGCCGATTTACATACTTCAAAGAAAGATCTTAAAATTGATTTACTTCCGAAATCGTCGCGAACAATCGGATGACATTTTTATTAGAAATCAACTGCTAACCGTGCACGAGCTTCATGTGTATGAATTACTAAAATTTGTACTCCGATCAGTAAACAAACTACACAGTGAGGATTTTTTGAATAATGTGTTTGAATTCGAAAATCCCACTAAAGTAACGCGTAGGGCTAATTTAAACCTCCTTAAAGAATCATTTAGAAAAAAACGATTTGAACGGCAATCAATTGCCTATCGGGGGTCTAGGCTTTACAACGTATTGAAAACTAGAGGCTTACTCGAAGATGGGATAGAAGATGCAAAAATTGGAAAAATTACAAGTTTTTATCATAAATTTAAGAATGGATACCTGCTAGGTAACAACGAGCTGGCAACTTTAGTTTTCAGTTTTTAATTTTTGTGTAATTTCAGTACCTTGGTTAAATGCTACAGGACAATCAACTATAGGTTGCGATTTATGTGAAAAAATACGACCCTCCAGAACCTTTTAGTTTAGGAGATATGGCCCTTTTTATGATTTTTTGAATTTTTTCTCAATAATTATTTTCCCGAAAACTTAGAAAATTTTCTTCATTTTTTTTTTTTTTTTTGAGGCGACGTGTCCCCATGCCGGAGCATCAGCTGAACTGCTATAGGTAGCGCTATGAAGAACAATATGTTTTCAATTAGGTAAAAATCAAAATCACGTATTTTTTTGTTTTTTGTTAATTTTTTCATTAAAAAAAAAAAAAAAAAAAAACTTTTTTTCTTTCTTTTGTTTGATGTTAAATTCAGTATGTGTGCTATATAAGGGCAACCTTTATGTGGACCAATGGTCTCGTTAGTTGTCCATTCCGATGATAAATGCATTGATGAAATTACTTTTGTTTTGCTAATGACTATATTTATCAATCGGAAAAATAAATTCTTTCTTTCTTTCTTTCTTTAGATATACACATGAATTTGCTATTTACTCTTAGGATCAAAATTGTTTCTTAAAAATGCATTTTGTTTATGTGGATTTTCCCTTTCTCCCCACCTGGGAAAGTTTATTAGTAAAATGTTCATTCGCATAACCCAATTTTTATGAAAATTGACATGCGGACTAATTAAGCCATGTTAAATATATTTGTGGCGCATACATAAGATTGTAAAACCACTCGTTGCACCATAAAATGGATTGCCGTGCGAGTAGGGGGAAGCCATTTTTGGTTTCCATTTAGTAAAAAAAAACGCTTTCTTTGCTTTAAAACGCTGACCTGTGAGTATGTCTCTTTCGAATCTGGTCGCATCCACATCTCTGCTGAGATCTGGTCGGATAAAGTAGAGGATGGGAGTGTCGTAGCTCTTCACGTCCTTGCACTCCAATAGACTAGTGGTGTATCTCAACTGTGTCAACTCCAACACAATACCATCTGGGGTTCCTAAACAAGGAAAGCGCCTTACAAAAAACTTAGAAGTTGATCGGCGAAAATAAAGATGTTAAAAGTTATAAAGTGTACAGAGAAAAGTAGACGACTCTTCATGGTACAAAAAACTAAACAGTTCGACTACACCTTCTCCCCAAATAAACATTTAACATTGCACAAAAGCACACGTGCACATCATTTCGCTTATAAAATTTTTCATCATACGCTGCAAAAGAATTTAAAAACTTTTATTAATTTAATTATAAGGCAAGAAATCTCCAATTTGGCACAACCAATTCAGAGTTTGACAATGTGCAAAGAGTGAATAACTGCAAAGCAAGAAATTTAAATGGGTAAAGTATCAAAAAATCTTACACAGGGCAAGTAGAAAATGAGTTGAACTTCTTTTGGTACATAACTTTGACACACTGCTTGCTGTTAAGAACCAGAACAACCAAAAAATCTTTGGTGCATTTTTTGCTCAAACCTTTTTCTCTTTCCACGTAGAAGAACAACCTGCGCTGCCCTCCCGCGAGGAATAACTCGTTGATCAAATCTAGGGTCTCTGGCTCACATATGTACTCCTCCAGTCCAGCGGGGTTTGTGGTTCCCCCAATTGAGAAGGTGTCCTGTATCTTGGAGGCAATCCACCAATGACGAGCCTCCATCTTCAGGTCACGGGCTAGACTCACTGTTATGTCGGGTACGGGATCAACAATTCTAGAGAACCAATCACATTAGTCGTAAATAAAAAACTTGAACTTGAGTAGCATTCGATTGTGCAAGCATCAAATAATTTAGAGAAAAAATAATTAAGGGCAGCTAATTCATTTTCTTCTCGTTTAAGCGCGCTTAGCTATGTTTATTTATAGATCCCGGAGATGTTTTTTATAAAAAGTACATTATATACACATGATGTTAGTTTGGTATCGAGTGTTTTAAAAATTTTTGAACCAACAAAATTTTAGCCCACTCAGTAAATTTACAACGAACAATTAAACTAACCAGGAAAATAGCCGAAAAAAAAAATTTGCGATAACTCCACAGAAAAAAATAAACTCAATAAATGTTTGTCTTCCAAATTAAGCTACACGTCTGTAATCAGCCATGCAAAAAAGTGTGCATTAAACCACAGACGAAGCACGTGCATCTTTTACATTCAAAATATGTTTTCGTGTACGATGGTGTGCGCGTATGGTGTACGTTCAATAAACGTGTTATACGTTAAAATCTAATCGTCTATTGATCTACAGTTTACGAGTTTAATACAATAAGCTGGTAAGACTTGCCTTGTTTCAACAAGGTTTTTAACGAACGAAATCAGCAGATACAATGGAGGGTAGTGAAAGAATTGACCGGTAGGTAAAATATACAGGTCAACGAAAAACTTAAGAACCACAACCGAATGCTCTGCGCATTTGACTGTAACAATTTAATCTATCTGTACAGTATCATCTATCAACTCAAATTTCTCAAATGACTGAAAGGTTCGGTTCATCTCCCGAACAATCTCAAACACAAGATACAAAAAAATTCAGATATTAACAGCAATTCACCCTTAATGTGACTAGCATTTTCTCTAAATGAACATTGTGAGAAATATGACACAGAGGCGAAGCTGAGCTTCGCACCACTTGCGATACACAATAAAGCTCCAAAAACCAAAAGATAATGTGTCTTGAACAAAAAATGAAAAACATGAATGAATTTTATTGCAATTGTTATAGAAGTTAACTAGCTTCAAAAAAGAAGAAATATTTATGTTTAACTCCATCCATTTTTTTCTGATAAACAATAGATGAAAACGATAAGAAAACATTTCGGTCGAAAAAATGAGATACAATAATTCCTAAATGTACTCAAAAACTGTTCATTAAATCTTGCAACCAAAGAATCTGCATATCCGATAAAAATAATCGGGGGTAAAATGAAAAAAAAAAATTGATAAACAAAGTTTCAAACACATGAATGCAAAAATTACAAACAATTGTCATAAAAAAGAACTTGCAGAAAATCTGAAAAAGCCTATGAAAATAAAGCAATTACATCAAGAATTATCAGTTATGAAACTTATACGCAAAGATAAAAGAGATAGATCACAGCGAAAAAACAACAATAAAAAAATGCTCAATGAAAATAAAAACTTGAAAAGTTTTTTTTTAAAAATTGGACCAAAAAGAACCACACGCCCAAGTCTCGTGCAGAACTTGCCGCCACATTTTTATCAGACAACAAAGTCAAGTCAAACTTGAAAAAAAAATCTGGAAACTTATCAAATTTTTTGATTTTTTTGACATTTTGAAACAGAGGCAAAGCGGAGCTTCGCACCACTTGCGATGCAACACAAACACGAAAAAAAACATAAGTCAAAAAAAGTTTTAGATGTTGAAAAAACTAGGTAAACCACAATTTTCGAATGACTCGATAAAAACAAATACGGGCCCATCTTCAGCTGGAGGTACGTGTTCGATTGTGAATGAGTTTGCTAAACTGATGCGGCACGAAAAGAGTGGTTTCAAAAAATGGACATTGCCTAAATCTTTATTCGCTTCTCTTCTAAAGTGATTGAGAAGAGTAAGGAATTTTAAGATAATCAATTTTCCCAAGGAGATAAACTTCTCAAACAAGAAATTCAAGAACCGCCGCTTCTACAGAAACAATTATCGCAACGCGTTCTCTCAATGGAACTTTTCATCTCACATTTGATTTCGTAAATTAAAAGAAAATTTTAAAAAGTTACGAAAAACGGTCGAAAGTTGTAAAAAAACCAAGACTTTCCAAAATCCATAATGTTTCTCCGCCAAAAGAAGGCTATGGCCAACTTTTGGCAATGTTTTCCGCCGAAAGAAGATTTCCAAAACAGGGTTTCTCAATTGAACACAACCTTCGAATTGGCCCGGTAGATTTCGCGCAAAGTCAACAAGTTTCCAAAAAACTGTCAAAGTTTCAAAACTTTGACTTGTTTGAAGGCCGTAACTTTTTTATTGAACAAGCGGGGCATAGCCAATTTTTAAGAGAGGCTTTTAACAACCTGTTCATTCGATTAAATCTAAAATATCAGATTCGGCGAAACAACTAGCGAGAGAAGTCCAAAAAATGTCAATAATTGGACAATTCCGATAATCATAGCTTTTAGTGTGAAAAAATTATACAGGAACGTTATGCAGAAGGGATTCACGCAACCACCAATTTCAATTGAACCCATAATCTCAATTTTGGGAGGGTATTTTTCGAGAAAATCAAAACTTTCATAAAAACGGTAACAAAATATGAGCTTCCCGAAACCCGTTCTGAAAATTTAACTCAAAATCTCAGGTATGACGGTAGTTTTTGAGAATATTCAAAAAGTTTAAAAACGGTCAAAAATCAAAAACTTGACTTTTCAGAGGGCGATAACTTCTTGTGCAAAACTTTTCATTAGTGTCATCTAATGCAGAATAGCGTCCCACAATCCGTTATCTCATTGAATCGACAATATAAGATGTGAGATCTCAGCTTTCAAGAAAAGTCGAAATAGTTCAAAAAACGGTCAAAAATTAAAAATTTGACTATTCCGAGGAACATAAGTTTTTGTGCAAAAAAGATTGCCATGGCCATTTATGCAAAAAAGTTTTTCGAAACAGTTCAATTCATGGAAACGAAAAACTCAAATTTGAGAGGGGTAGTTTTCAAGAAAATGAAAAAAAAATCAAAAATATGGTTCAAACATTCCACCATAAAATTTCTGCAATAAGTGAAAAAAAACTTCAGAAAAATTAAATTTCAACAAACCGATTGATAAACATACAACCAACTTGAAAAGTGCAGAGGGGAGTGCTAAAATTGTGTTTATCTTAAACGGGCATAAATTAGGTCATTGGGCCGATAAAAAATAGGACGAAAAAATTTCGGCTGATTAACTTTTAGCGCAACAAAAAACACTTAAAACAACAAAAGAAAATAACACGCAGAAAACAAAATAAATCCAAGATGTGACAACTAAGCTGACAACAGATGAGCAGACAAATAATTGGCCGGCAATTTTATTTGAAAAAAAAACCCTTTTCCGTTTTAAAAAAATCAGGTCCTGGTCAAATTCGAACCCAGGACATTTGCCGTCCCAGGCATATTCGTTACCTCCAAGCTAAGTTGACCAGGAACGATATGAAATTTGAATACATTATGAACCAAGGTAGCGATGAGTCCAGACGTCCAGATGAGTCCTGTGGACAAAGTTGTTTACGGGAAAACAGTCTAGTACCCGGTTGCAATAACCTTGCTTATCGCAAGGGTAAAAAAATATTTGAGAAAATGTGCATTCAGTTTTTCAATGTATTGTGACATATTACAATTGGTGGAGCATTTCCACAGAAAATGTTGGTGTTATTTTGACTAATGCCATCGTCAACTTGACCGAATATTTTTGTTTTTGAACTTGATAAGAAAACTTAACTTGATTGATCGAGTCAATGCACGTAGCTAAATGATTACTATAGAGCAACACCTTCCGCCTTTTATTTTGTATAAATCTCGCCCTTAAAATTTCGCCGCTCTACCGCCCTTTAAACTGATATTTAGGTTTTGATACTGGTCAAAGTAAGGTGTTGATCCTGTGGGCAGCAGCTTGTTTGATTTGCTGAACTTTTCTCAATATTGCAGTACTTGAAAAGGAGTTTTAAACTAAAAAAACTTAATGTAAATCTCAGAAAAACTTCTACACTTTGCTTTTCTATTAGATTTTTTTTTCTAAGAAATGCAAAAAGTGCAAAAAAAGCCGAAAAAATCCTAAAATCAAATTACTTACATTATTAGAAACTTTACAACGAGACTGGAATTGAACTATTGGCCTTTGCCGTCTCAAGCATAGATGTTACCACTGCGCCAAGTGCACAAAATTCTTCGTCAATTTAAATTTGAAATGAAGCAAGTAATACATGTGTAAGCATTTCACATCCGAACTTTGGGAACCAAGTTGTGTACGGCAAACGAGTCAAGTCTCGGTTGCACTACCTTTGCCTAACGCAAGGGTAAAAAAATCTAATTTGGCCGCTTCCAGATGCTTACACGCTAAAGCTAAGATTTATCGGAAATAACAATGACCAACAAAGTTCATAAATACTCTGATTGGCAAGTTCATTGGAGGACAGAAACAATCGCAAATAAATTTCGCGGAAATCTAAAAACAAATACGCAAACACTAATTCACGCGCTCTTTAACAGTTATAGCGAATATGACAGAAGTCGAGCGAACTTTATGATGACACATGCTAGTTGACCATACCGTTTACGGGTTACGACCATTCTCAAGCTATCGCGTAAATGCGTTTTTCTTCGGCCGATTTTAGGCACCTAGAAGAAAATTTGTAGGGCTTCAAGTGTAGTGTCATTTTGAAGAACGATCAGCCGTTATTCAAATCTTAAAGCGATGTTTAAAAAATCTTTGTTTCAAAAAAAATGGTGTGAATATTTTAGTTTTTCAGGCAATTTACGAGTATTCCTGCTAGTCTTACAATTCACCATCATTGAAGATATAATAGACCTTATCAAATGTAATAGACCTTTACCAGTGCTTCATATTAGTTTCGACTTTTTTCTTTTGAAACTTAAACGTCACTTTTCTTGTAAACGCCAGCCTCCAGAAATGGCAGAAAAGTTTGGAATGGAAAAAATTGTTTTGAATTGTTTCCGTTTCTTTTTCAGGCTGTTAGCATCAAATACGGAGGGCGTCAGTAGCGGATTAAGGGGGATTGCGGACGCCCCCCCCCCCCCCCCCCTCAAGGATTTGACCCCTTGCCGACCCAAAGGGTCCCCCTTTGTACTATTTTGAGATCATTTTTGGCTGACTGACCTTAAAAAATTTCTAAAAGCGCCTTCGGAACCAATCGATACTAATTTTTAAGGGGGGAGCGCGCGCCAAAAAACGAGATTTTTTGGTCGAAAAATTCCAAAAAGTGCCTAAAACGCTATTTTCGGTTTGTTTTTCAAGCTGTTAGCATCAAATACGGAGGGCGTCAGTAGCGGATTTAGGGGGATTGCGGACGCCCCCCCCCCTCAAGGATTCGACCCCTTGCCGACCCAAAGGGTCCCCCTTTGTACTATTTTGAGATCATTTTTGGCTGACTGACCTTAAAAAATTTCTAAAAGCGC